AAGCAAAGCAGCTTTGGGAACAGGCAGCTGGATGGAAGCTTGCAGGTGCAAGGAGTAGGGTAAGTATTACTGCTTATACCCCTAAACCAGTGGTCTTCAAACTGCTGCCCACTGGCCAGATGTGGCCCTTTACTTGCTTTCATCCTGCCCTTGGGACCATATTTCATCCTCTGACACCAACAATGGGGCACAATTCCCCCCAGTGACACCAACAATGGGGCACAATTCCTCCTAATGACACCAACAGTGGGGCCCAATGGTACCATTGACAGGGCACAATTCTTCCCAATGACACCAACGATGGGGCATTGACTCCCACTGGTGCCAGGACATTTTCTACTCCCAGTGGCCACAGACCGGCCCCCCTAAACTGTAAACTGGCCCCTGCCCTAGACTTAACATGAGTTTATTCCTTTCAGCATTGGGAGGAATCCCCCTGAAATGGTAACTTTTTTTCAGCTGGCAGTCCATTATTTTTGATAGGCTGCCAACACACAGCAATGGACCACTGCCACTGTTGTTTTCATGTCATGTCTACCTGTCTGGATCCTGGACTCCCTGGTCTGAACCTGGACTGTTTGGTGTCACCTGACCTTTCCATCGGCCTGCTGACTCTGCTACTGTTACTCTGAAGGACTTGTCCTGCTCTTGCATCTGGTGTTCCTTATCCTGGCCTTTCCATTTGGCAACACAAAGATTTACCAAACTCCATGTTAATTGCTTGCCTTCTATTTTTGTGATTATTGACGATGGAATGATGCTAATACCTTGTACGCACAGACTGTGTGACCACCCACCATAACCCATTGAGGCATGGCCTCCACTTGACCTCTGAAGGTTTGCTGTGATATATGGCACCATGTTGTCAGTAGCAGCTCCTTTAAGTCCGGTAAGTTGTGAGGTGGGGCCTCCATAGATCGGACTTGTTTTTCCAGCACATCCCGCAGATGCTCAGTTGGGTTGAGATCTGGAGAATTTGGTGATCAAGTCAACACTTCAAACTTTGTTGTGTTCCTCAAACTATTCTTGAAATTCATCAAACACTTCTTCCATTGCTCTGTGGTCCAGTTCTAATGCCAATTGTAGGCTCTTTTGACTGTGGACATGGGTCAGCAATGGCCACCCTGACCGATTAGCGGCTACCATACGCAACAAACTGGGATGCTCTGTGTGTTCTGACACCTTTCTATCAGAACCAGCATTTAATTTTTTCAGCAATCTGAGCTCTAGTAGCTCTTCTGTTGGATCGGACTACATGTGCCAGACTTCACTCCCCACCTCCATCAATGAGCCTTGGCCACCTATGACCCTGTTACTGGTTTGCCGGTTCTCCTTCTTTGGATCACTTTTGGTCAAACTTGACCACTGCAGACCAGCAATATCCCATCAGAGCTGCAGTTTTGGAGTTGCTCTGCCCCAGTCGTCTACACATTACAATGTGGCTCTTGTCAAAGTCAACTCAAATCTTTACTCTTGACCATTTTTTTTCTGCTTTCAACACATCAACCTCAAGGACAATATGTTCACTTGCTGCCTCCGACTTTTAAGATACCTAATGTTATTCACTTTAACTGTCAGTGGTCATTAGGTTATGAGCGATCGGTGTTCTCAGTAGGAAAGGGGGGCTTTCCTAGTATTTATCTCTGCTTGCTCTCTACACAGAGAAGGCTTCCCTTCCTCGATGTGTGCCCCTTGGAGGACGATGTCAGGGTTAATAACAGATGTTGCAGAGCTCTTCCCCCTGTACCTGTGCCAAGCAATGACTCATTCATCCAGGGCTCAGCTGCAGTGCTCCACACTCCCTGTTAGGGGCCCCGGATGGGTGAATGGAGAAGGGTTTTCCCCGATCAGTTTTTTTTTTTTTTTTTTTTTTCTTTAGTTGTCTCTATAAAGCAATATATGGTCAGAAAACTGTGCGGTGAAAGGCCGGCAATGCAAATGATAAAGCAAAACAACAACACTCTTCCCTCTGACACACAGGGGTCCCACGCAGCAAACTTGTGGACATTTTGTTTGCCACACACCCCCTGAAGGCGTCTTTGGAAACCACCAGATGGTGATAACATTGGACATCTTTAACTGAAATTCTGGTATTGCTTCTCCCAGAGGAGAACTTTACTGCCAGTGACATAAGCCAGACTTCTGCTCTGTAATGGACAGCCCTAGTGCCCTATGGAAACCAATACTCATTCAGATGGACATCATGCTGACAACCTCTGTATTCCTAATCTTACCTTCACTTTCCTGTAAAATCATTGGGTTAAGGGCTCACGCACATAGGCATTAAGAAAAAGTGTTTTGTTTTTTTTGTATCTGAATGCAGATTTTTTTGGTTTATATATAGGCCCATGCACACAGCTGTGTAAAGATCGGTAAAATCAAGATTAAAAAAAATCTTCATCTGAGGTCAGTAATTTATGTGTGTACGCATACGAATGCATGTACATGCACAACGCATGAACATGGAAATGTAATCTTTAGCTTTAAGAAAATATTCACAGCTGATGCGGCGGGACTGCGTTAGGCGGCTATTCCAGGGCATGGGCAAGGCAAAATGCTTCCTTCTCCTATGTGTGCGGTTTACACCGCTGCATTCCAATGGTATGTGGGCATGGGGAAAAAGCACTGCATGCACTCAGTGCCTGGACAAGGCCATCTAGAGCCCAGGGCAAACATGCCAAAAGGCCCCCCCAAGATGTATGAGCATTACCTACATGCTTCCCTTCTAAGCATAAATTCCCCCTCCCCCTAGTACAAATCCACCCCCTTGCTCAAAATCCTCCCATGCCTAATTCTTTCTCTCCCCATATGCCCCCATCACAAGTCCTTCCCCCTCCAAGCACAAATCCTTTGCCCCTTTAAACTTCCCCTCCGAGCACAAACCCCCCTCCAAGCACAAATCCTACCCCCCATATTATCTTTTCTAGCACACATACTCCCTCCTAGCACAGATCATCTCTTCCCCCATCCCCCACCCAACACTAATTCCCTCAAATCACAGCTCCAAATCCACCTCTCCCATCACAAATTCCCCTCCCCCAATCCCCCATCCTAGCACAAATTTCCTTCCCCCCCCCCCCCCCAATCCCCCATCCTAGCACAAATTCCCCTCCCCCAATCCCCCATCCTAGCACAAATCCCCTACCCCCCCTACTATATCGACTTTTCTAGCATACATACTCCCAAGCACAAATCCTCTTCCCCCATTCCCCCTCCCAAATCACAACTCCCCAAATTTCCCCTCCTAGAACAATTATCCTTTCAAATACCCCCTCCTTTCCCCTTAAAAATTTTCTCTTAGCACAAATCCCCCCCAAATCACAACTCCACAAATTTCCCCTCGTAGAACAATTCTTACCCCCTCAAATTCCCTCTTCCAACACAAATCCCTTCACCCAATCTCTTTGTGATGCCCCTTCCCCCACCTCACATGATATCTTGGTGCCCAGGGCAGCCGCCCCTCCTGCCCACCCCTTGTCCTGGCCCTGCGTGCACTACTTTTTCTCAGTGCAGAACAATGCAATGCAAAGCAATCTACTGCATCGCACAATGCAGCCGGAAATTGGACTTTTTTAAATATCTGTGTGACATCTCAATAAATTTGAAAGAAAAAAAAAAAAAAGAGCAATGCATCAAGCTCAGGAAAAACCAGCCACTGCCCTTTGGCCTCAAGCACACAGTCGTTTGAGGCTAAAAATGCGGTAAAAAAAAAAAAAAAAATCATATCGCGTTAGTGCGTTTTCTGGTTGCTGGACTCAAAACATGGACACATGGCTCAAAAAGTGCGTTTTGTATGCATTTTACATTGATTTCAATGGGAGGTGCGATTTTTGGCGTGCTTTTTAAACAGGACACCCACTGCCAACAGGTCCAGGAGCAGCAGCAGCAGCAGAAAAAAACACACTGGATGCATCTAAATGAGCTTTACCGCTGCAGGGTTAATTCATTTCAATGGCCCGCATTAATTATTTTGGCCAATGAAATTAATTCACACACAAGCGCTTCCAAGACTTAATATGTTGCACCCGTATACATGTGTCAAGCATTTTTTTTTTTTTTTTCCTGTTAAAATGCCTATAGGAAGGGCATCGAGGAGAGCAGCCAAAAGTCCACTGTGCGTGAGGCCTTAGGGCTCAGTCACACGTATTTTCTGCATAAACCGCAAGTTCTTGCTGGCAGAGCTAGCAGAAGATCTTGCGTAAAGCACACGCCTATAGTACGTTTAGATGCGCAGTGTTTAGATGCATGCAATTCTTCTTCCGTTCCCAAAAAATTACTACACATATGTGTGCACGCTTTAACGCGCACTTTTTCATGTATGCACGTAAAATGCGCAGATTTGGGTGTGTCCTTTTTTGTGCGTGTCTAACGCAGCGCACATTTTTGCTGATGGCCGCAACTATGTATGGGCGCAGTGACTACTACAGTGCGCACACAACCTATACACTGCGCATCTAAACAAAGCGTTTTTTTTTTCTGCCCATGTGAATGAATGGTGTGGTGCGTAGAGAGGTTGAGGACTGTCCTTGTATGCTCGACTGAAAAAGAGAGAGACAGGAAAAGGGAGGGAACAAATCGGGGAGCTGCATGCTAATATGCAGGAAAAGAGAGCAGAATGGGCAGAAAGAGGACCTCATCAGTCTCCCGCTACTCTAAATGGAAGACGATGGCCAAATACTCCAGCTCTAAGCTTTTCTTAGGCCACATAGCAGATTTCTCATGATCAATATCATATTGTGAAATGGCATGGAGCCCAGTTGGGGTCTTTTAGGGATGCGTTCCAGTTTTGTGACCATCCATTGAATACAGGCTGTGATGGAGATGACTATTTGCCTAGCTAATGTATACACACAGCTGCTTATAAAAAAGGTTGTGGTTGATGGGACCAGTCTCTGGTCTTTATTGGGAAGGGTGTAATAATCATTCATGGAGGAAAACCACCATAATAATGTCTCCTAGGCTGTACTTATTTTTTTTCTCTTTTCTTCCCGTCTTCTCAGCTGAATCATTCAAAGAATTTGCTGACCTATTGCAGGAAGTGGAACTAGAAAGGACAATGATGGTAAGACTGTTGTGCTATTTTTACTATGGTTGGGAAATGTACATACTGTAGATTAGAGTTTGCTATGTATAAGTGGGATGTGTCATTATTTTATTTATATTTATATTGTTTTATATATTATATTTGTTTGTTTTATATATTATATTTATTATATATTAAAGCCTCTTGCACACTGCACCGTGGAAAAACTCAGTACAGCATTTTTGTTTTTTTATTGAGGTAAATTGTAGCCCATTATTCACAAAGTGCCTTTGCATTGCAGGTGTGTAAATAAGTGCTGTGTATTCCTCAGTAAAAAAAAATAATAGGAAAATCTGCATTTTTGGTCAGTAATTTACGCCGCCTGCTCGTAAATGCACGTGAATACGTGCATATGAGCATAAATATTAATTTTCCCGAAGTGTATATAGTGTGGGCGCAAATGCTCAAACACGTATATACGCATAAATACACGCAAAACAATCACCTGATATTACGTTAAAAAAAAGCAGATGCTCAAAGATCAGTAACATGTGCAAGACTCCTTATATGCTGTATATTATATTTTATTTTATGCAATATATTATATTTATTCTATGTTCATTTATATTATATTTATTCTATATATTATATTTATTTTGTTTTATATATTATATTAAATATATAATATATATATATATATATATATATATATAAAAAAATATATATATATATAAAAAGGATATACTGTATAGAATAAAATAAATAGAAGATATAAAATAAATAGTATATATTCTATTTTATTCTATATATTATATGATATATTATATTTATTTTTTGAGATATATATATATATATATATATATATATATATATATATATACATTATGTTATAAATTCTCATTGAAAGCTGAACTCCAGGATAATTAAATATTGTCTAAATACGTTTGTCATGTGTATTCTTCCTTGAGTCTTGGTGTGCTTTGTCTCCCAGATCTGTGCAGTGATCCAGTGTGACCTTTGCTTACTGTAATGAAGACTGCTCACTGCTGCTTTCTCTCCTTGTGCAGGGTGACTGGTCTTGTCTCTGCCCCTCCTGTAGTTTTCTGCAGGCAGCCTGTGGCTGGGCCGAGCCTGCTGGGCCCCTCCCACATCTCTGCTCTCTGCATAGGCTATTTACAGCATAGTGATTGTCATTGCCACTTTTGCAAAGCGATAACTTGGTTTGTAAATGCATTTGGTGCACACTAGGTGGATTTATATCATTTTGAGGTATGAGGAATATTTTACATGAGTCTTTGAGCTTGCAGTTCAGCTTTGACATATTGCACTCAGGTTAACAAATTATTTAAAGTGCATGCAAAGTCACTGATTACATACTGTGCATATTTACATGTTGGCTCTGATTGGCCACCTGTGTTCTAGCAACCAAGGACATCAGGTGGCAGGTGCTACCTGTGTCCAAGGTTACTAGAAGGCAAAAGCCTCCTTTGTCCTAGCACCCAAGGATGCTAGCAGAAGAGGAACTGCATGTGTCTTGGTAACCATGGATGCTAGAGTGCAGTGGCCGCCTGTGTCCTAGCGACCAATGACACCAGGTGACAGGGGCCACCTGTGTCCTATCAGCCAAGGACACTAGGGGGCAAGAGCCTCCTATGTATCCTAACAACCAAGGATGATAGGCAGCAGGAGCTGCCTACATCTTAGTAACCAAGGATGCTTGGGTGCATTATCTGCCTATGTCTTAGCAACAAGGAATACTAGGTGGCAATAGCTGCCTGCGTCCTAGCAATCAAGGTTCTATTAATATTTTGTAATCCGCAGCACCTGCTACACTTTGTTGTTACTTACATGTCTTCCGGCAATGGTCAGAAGGGTTTTGTGTGTTGAACTGGCCAGCTTTTACCAGCCAGATGCTGCATTTTTCATTTTGAAATGGTTATGTTAGTCTAAATGAACCTTACAGCCAATGCATTTTGGGAGGTTCAAAAAGGTCCCCATTTCATCAGGGTTCAGTGGATACTGCAAGAGATGTGTTCTGGGTAATTAATCTGGAATGGTCATTAGGGAATAGGTCCAGTGTATTGCAATAGAAAATGCCTGCTCTATTTTTTCTAGGTTATTGCAGCAATCTTCTAGGATTTTGTTTAGACTAGTCACATAGAATTCACACATTCCCTACCAAAAAGATGTTTTAACGCACATCAATGCAGGCAAGTACAGAGGTAAGCCATTGCTTTAAATGGTTCTAGTTCATACCTGTGTGATCCATTGACATGTTTTTTAATGCGAAGATGTGCATTATATAGATGACAATGGCAGCACTAAAAAGCACACGATTGTTGATAAAACACATTAAAACAGGTTTATATACTGCCTAAAACATGCATTCAGTCCATCAAAAGTGTTTTCTGTCTGATTTTGTATGTTTTCGGGGTTTTTTTTTTTTCCACTACAGCTTCAAAACGCAGACAACATCCTGATAAAACCCCTGGAGACTTTCCGCAAGGATCAAATTGGACTCACTAAGGTACTTCCACATCCTGTCTGCAAGCTCAGGAACCACCCGTACAGGCAAAGCTGTAAACACAGACACTAGTTTTTTAGTTGGGACTCACTTTACAAAAGGAGAAGCCAAGAAAAAAAAAAAAAAAACGGAGTTTCAGAATAAGAATTCAGACTTGTAAAGAGATACATTTTATGACCAAAAGTTTGAGGACTCCTGACCAGCAAACATACTATATGGCCAAAAGTATGAGGACCCCCCTCTAAATGATTGAGTTCCGGTGTTTCCAGTGAAGGGCACTGGTAATACTCAAGCACACAAAGACATTTTAGACCTTTGTCCTCTTCCAACCTTGTGGCAACAATTTGGTGAAGGCTCTTTTCTTTTCCAGCATGACTGTACACAAAGCCAACGCTATAAAGAAATGGTTTCACCAGTTTGTCAAGGCCAGTTGAGTTCCTCTACAACCAGAGTCCTGAGGAACTCTTGTCCTGACTTCCAGCCAGTCCTGAGGAGCTCTAGTCCTGATCTTCACCCTAATGAACACCCCAGGCGTGAATTGCAATGCCAATTGTGAGCCAGGTCTTCTCCAAGATCAGTACCTGAACTTAAAACAGAGCACAAATTCCCACAGACACCCTCCAAAATCTTATGGAAAGTCTTTCCATAAGAGCAGAAGCTGGTATGATCACATGAGGACTAACTCCTTATCAATAGCCATGTTTTTAGAATGGGATGTCCAACATGCTCATAAAGGTATAATGGGCCTATTGTGTATGTCCTATTGGACATCTATCACAAAATTGTCACCATCTCTTAACCCTTTCACTACCCCTACACTATGCCTATTTGTAAAAAAAAACAGCTCTGTAAAGACATGGTTTAACCAGTTGGATGTGGAGGAACTTGAGTGGTCTGCATATAGCCCTGACCTCAACCTTGGGGACCCTGATTGTGAGTTAGGTCTTCTCATCCAGCAACAGTACTTGACCTCACAAATGGGCACAAATTGATCTGTTTGGTGTGGAGGAACTTGAATATCCAGCACAGGTCCCTGACCTCAACCCTAGGAGCACTGATTGTAAGCCAGGTCTACTCATCCAACAACAGTACTTGACCACACAAATGGGCATTAACTAATTTGTTTGGTGTGGAGGAACCTGAGTGTCCTATACAGAGCCCTGACCTCAACCCTTCTGAGCATCTTTGGGAGTAAACTGAAATTCAGGCTGTAGATCAAGTCTTCTGGACACATTCTAAAATCTTGTGGAAAGCCTTTCCAGACAAGTGGAGGTTGCCAAAGCCTCAAAGAGGGGCCAACTCCATATTAATTTTCTTTTTTTTTATTGGGATGTCCAACAAGCTTTTATAAGTGTTGGTTAGGTGTCCACCAACATTTGGCCATATAGTATATGTTGAGTTTCCTGGAAAAAAATATAAATTGGAATCCAAAGCTTTTCTGGAAGAACACTAAGATTCAGTGACTGATTGCAGGAAAGAAGTATATTGTTGTTTACAACCAACAAGATATTGGTTTACGTTGTCAGCAAAAAGGACATCTGATATCTGATTGGTTGCGAAGCACAATTTTAGGCTGTAGCCATTTTTTAATTTAGCAGCTGTTTATTGATCTGCTTGTTGAATTGTAATGAGTAACAATATTAGATTTCACATGCAATGGAATACCTTTTGTTGTTCGGACATTTCGTTATGTTCCTTTATGATGTTTCTTATGTATGGGCAGATATCTATAAGTGAAATAAACAGCTGTTGCTTACAAAGCAAATGTTGGAGAGAGCATAGCTGGTCATACACTGCTTGACTTTCTTCTGGAATCGGTCAAAATTCGAGCCATTGATGACCGTGTCGTTACCACCCTACTCAACAAAAGTTGATTGAAAACTTGAAGGAGCTGGGTGGAGAATTGTTAGCCAAACAGTAACTGCATGCTGTCAGTCACTCTTCAGGTATTCAGACTGCCATGGGTGCTGTGGCTGTCAGAATACCGTAGTGGCGGGGGAGATTCCATTATTAACACCAACCTTTTCACCACATGGGAACCCTTGGAACTGATATCCGGTCCTAGGGATCTCCCTTTAAAATTATTAGACCTACTGCTCATGGTGCATCAGTTTGATCAGTAAGCTGTGGAGATTTGTAAATAAAAAAAAATAAAGACTGGGTTGCCTAATAACCATGAAATGAAAAAAATAATATTAATGGCCATAAAAACATAGATGATAAATACTGTAGTAACCCTTAAATAGGTGGGCAATGTGGATGTGAACCATTACATTGGTGGTCGGGGCAGAAGTAATCCCTTACATTGGTGGTCAGCAAAGAAGTGAACCATTAAATTGGTGGTCAGTGTAGAGGAGACCCCTTATATTGGTAGTAAGAGTAGAAGAGAACCATTAAATTGGTGTTCAGTGTAGTGGTGACCCAAAAAAATTGGTAGTCAGTGTAGAGGTGACTCTTTAGATTGGTAGTCAAAGTAGAAGAGGCTCAATAAATTGGTGGTCAGTGTACAGGTGACCAGGTAAGGAGATATGTCTTATTAACTGTCATATATTTTGTGTAATGCCTCCATTTCTAGATGTGTGAACAGTTAGTTTTGCTTGTAACTTTTCTTTTGTTTTCTGAGAATAGTTTTCATTTCACTGTAAATGGAACTGCCTTTATATGGTATCCCTCAGCTATTTGCAGTTTCTGTTCTTCATGTAACTATATTGATAAGAATGGAATGTTTCATTGGTCATCCTAAGATTAAGCAATGCCTACTGAGTTGTGAATAACCATTCTTGTCTTGCATTAAACTTTCAGAGATTTAGCTTGCACACTTCGGTGCCTGGAGCTTTATTTCTCCCAGGCCAGAGAGTGAAAATATCAAGTACAGAGGCTACAGACATAGGCTTATTCCTGTCAGACCCCTTATATTTATATTCCGAGTAGAAGAGACGCATTAAATTGGTGTGCAGTGTAGAGGTGACCCATAAAAATTGGTGGTCAGTATAGAGGTGACTCCTTACATTAGTAGTCAAAGTAGAAGAGGCTCATTAAATTGGTGGTCAGTGTAGTATATTTATAGTTAATGTGCAAGTGACCCCTTGGTCACTTGGACCCCTTGAAGAACAGTGTGTAGAAGTGGACCCTTACATTGGTGGTCATTGTAAGCAGAAGATCAATCTGCCATTGCTCTCATCACCAGGAACCATTGGCAAGCTCTAGAGGAATCCTAGGGATCCATAGAACTCTGGTTGAAAGAGACTGATCTAAACTGTTTAGCATGGATGGAGGAAACTGTTCAGATTCGCAGGCTGAACATGAGAAATCTAAACATAAATGGCATGCTTATCTTCATATTTGGTGCAAGGAGGTCTGAAGCAGTGGTCCATTGTTAGATTAAATACTGAAAACCACATTAAAATATATCTAAACCCAATCACTAAATTCTTGTGTAAGCTTTAACATGTTATATAGTTTTGAAAGTTGTTGTAACTCTGTATCTGTAGCTTTCAATAAAATCCCTGGTGATTCTGGTATTAGGGATGCACCGATACCGCTTTTTTAAGTATTATTATAAGTACTGATACTTTCAGTCAAGTACTTGCTGATACTGAGTACCGATACTTTACAGTGTCATTTGCGTTAATGGATGGATTTGAACAAATTGCATACAGTTTCCCCACTGCTCCCGTGTGAGCCCAGGCTTGTCATGGCCTGAGTTCACACAGGAGCAGTGCGCAAAACCTCCTAACCGGTATCCATTGCTGAGTATCAGTGGTAGGAGAGGAGAGCAGGCGCCAGGATTTTCAAATCCCCGCCGTTTTCCTTCCTTTCCTTGCAGCGATGACAGTTCGGTCTAGACTGCATCTGATTGGTCAATTGCTGACCTTCTGCTTTCTCTCCTCTCCTACCACTGACACTCAACATGGGATGCTAGCAGGGAGGTTTCCCGCACCCGTTCCTGTGTGTGCTCGCACACAGGAGCAGTGGGGAAACAGCATGCGATTTGGACATTAATCACATTCCTGTTCAAATTACACACTAATCTTTGCAGTGAAAGTTGTGTCCATTAACGCAAATCACACCACAAAGTATCGGTTAAGGTATCAGGAGTATTTGCACGAGCACTCGTGAAAATTATTTATTATTTATTTCAGGTACTTGTATAGCGCCATCAATTTACGCAGTGCTTTACATATATATTGTACATTCACATCAGTCCCTAACCCTCAAGGGGTGTACAATCTGAGGTTCCTAACTCACATTCATACATACACATACTAGGGACAATTTAGACAGGATCCAATTCACCTACCAGTATGTCTTTGAAGTGTGGGAGGAAACCAGAGTACCCGGAGGAAACCCACGCAGGCACAGGGACAACATGCAAACTCCAGGCAGGTGGTGCCGTGGTTGGGATTCGAACCAACGACCGTAGTACTGCCATGCGGAAGTGCTAACCATTTAGCCACTGTGCTGCCCATAAATACTTGGTATTCGCACCGAGACCGGTATCGGTGCATCCCTACCTGCCATGACAGCCTTTGTTCAGGCGCTTCCTGCTGTAGGGTGACAACACTCTGCGCCTGTCTCCCATTTGTGCTCCCGTGTTGTCACATGCATCCAATTGGGAGATGGGTACATAGAGGTTTATTTACTAAAGCTGGAGAATGCAAAAGCAGGCTCACTTCTGCATAGAAATCAATCCGCTTTCAGGTTTTGTTGCCAAAGCTTAATTGAACAAGCTGAGGTTAGAAATTGATTGGTTTCTATGCAAAAGTGAGCCAGAATTTGTGCTCTCCAGCTTTAGTAAATATCCCCCATAGTGTTGGTGTATGTGCATAGATCTAGACGAGGCTTTCTCAACCAGGGTTCTTCCAGAGGTTGCTAGGGGTGCTTGAGTACTGGGCAATTTCTGCCTCTCCGATAAGTTCCCACTGACATCATTGATCTTTTTAGCTGTCTGTAAGAGGGTGATTCATCCAAATGTCCATAAGTGTAAGGAGCATTCTTCCCACTGACCATCACACGAATGTATCATGAGTCATTTTTAGCAGGGGTTTCCCGAGACCGGAAAGTTACTTCAAGGGTTCCTTTGTGTTGAAAAGATTGAGATAGGCTGCGCTAGACCAACAGATGTGGGATAATGGTACTTTTGGATTTAAATGATAGTGAATCCTCCTTCAAAGGGGCTGACAAAACGTGAATGTGCAGTTTTAGTAGAACTGACTTTGTCCCCGGTCCTAGGGCTGCTGCCTCACTGATAGTCTCAAAAGAGGACTTACAGTACTCAGAAGCTATGGCTTCTATGTTGAGGAGCACCCAGTGCAAAAGTTCTTGAGTAGGTTTTGGCAAAATTTTTATTGACAAAGAGTATCGAGAATCCAACGCGTTTCGGGTTAAATGCCTCCCCCTTCATTAGGGCTGAAGCAATGGGTACACTTGAACTAGTGTTGAGATGCAATTGAAGAGATTGCAATGAGCCTTGACCTGAGTTGTTACAGCTCAGATCAAGCCTCGTTATAGGCATTTTAATTGCATTGCGCAGCTAGTCCAACTGTATCTATCCCCCGCCTTGCTGAAAGGCGGGGGGGGGGGGGGGTGTGGATAATTCCCCTGAAACATGTTGGATTCTCTCAATACTCTTTCTCAATAAGTACTTACACAAACTTTTCAAGTGTCTTGAACTTTTGTATTGGGTGCTCCTCAACACTCATCCAAAAGGAACAGAGTATTGTCAGTCTATAACCACCCTCAATAAGGACCTTCATGGCAGGACCACCAGGCATTATTTTGCGAAATCTGCAGATTTAGAATGATTGAGAATTACTTTTAAAAAGGCATGAACATGTTAGAACGTAAATAAGATTTTATCGATGGGGTTTAAAACTACATTACATACAGTACGTTATTGGCAAACAAGGATAACTTCTGGATTTTGTAAGAACTTTGGGCTAGAAATTGTAGCATCTCAACCAGACCCCCTGCAAGCCGCCTTCCTGCTATATAGTGACAATCAGCTGTATCCAAGTTAGCCATGTGAACCTGATTATCCTTTTAGTCTGATTTTCATAAGTAATAGGAAGATTATTTAAGCATGATCCCTGGGAACTTTGCCCCGAATGCAGGACTGAATGTGCTTGTTGGTGGAAGTTTGGTAGATCTTGTGTCCTTAATTGGGATATAGTTCTAGACCAGAAGCATAGGCAAGGTGGGGGGAGAGTCATGTGCTCTAGTGAGGGGCTGGATCCTTTCTTCATGGCGGCTGCCAGAACGAGCGAGCTGGGAGTAAACCTGAGCCAAAAAAATGCTGGAAACGGCACAAGATCTGCTCCCACCATCTCCTGCTCCATAACCCGTTCACTTCCAGGAGCACAATGAATGGTCCCTGTGCTGGGAGCGAAGGATTTTCTTCACCTGCACTGGTTTCATGATAAGCCATTTAAATCTTTTCTTTTTATGGGATCAAAGAATGACCTTCAGCTGACATTCTTATATTAGTTAAATCAGTCATCATTCGTTATGCAGCATCAAAGGGATACTAATATAGAGATACTGTGCTTCACATATCATACTGGAGATAATGAAAAAAGGAAGTCTGGTCTTTAACCACTTGCTGTCTGATGTATGTAGATAGACCTCCTGTCAGCAAGTGGCTATTACAAGATCATGACTGCAGCTGTAGGCATTTTAGCGGCTTTCTGCCTGCATTTCCATCTCTTCCTTGTAGGTTTAGGCCACATGCATACAGGGCGTTCTTGCAGCCACTTTTAGGGGTTTCAGACGTTTCTTTTTTACAGCTTCTAAATGCCCCTCTATGTTATCCTATGTGTCCATGCACATAGACTTTTAGAAGCTTTTGATGTCAGGGGCTTTTAGGAGCTGTAAAAAAAATCCACTACCTGTGTGTCCAGGAGTAGCAATGTTTTGGCAGAAAAAAATGCTTGATGCGAGTAAACTTGCCTAAATGCTAGGCACGTTTAGCTCTTGAGCATTAATTCATTTCAATGGCCAGAATAATGTATTATTCTGCCAATGAAAAGAGTTAATGCCCAAGCGCTTGATGCCTGTAAACGCACCTAAATGCTTGTAAATGCTTTAGACACTTTTCCAAGTGTCGGTGTTTTTTCTGCCAAAAATGCTGCTGCCAAGAGGAGAGGTGTTTTTTAAACATTTCTGTGTGCATGAGGTCTTATTGCCCAGCACATATGTGTCCTCGGAGGACTCGGGTTGTGTGCTGAGAGCGGGCTACCAGCACACTGACTGAGCTATTATGGACAGCTCCCTGTCACAGCTTCTTATTGGGCTCCTGATCACGTGACAGCTGTTGGAGCTAATGACGGCAGTAACATGGCAGAGAAGCCAAGCTGCCTCCTGGGCATTAAAGCCAGCAGGATGTGCTCCTGATCATCTTGCTGGTGTAAGAGCCAATCACAGTGATCACATGATCGAGAAGCCGCACCACCTCCTGCACATTACATGCCATGTAAAGGGCGGCCAGGGGACGGTGTTAAAGGGGTATTTCACCTTTACCAAAAAAATGCAGGTAAACGACGCCTGTAGATAAACACAAATTGTGCAGCTCTGGCCATAGTGGAACAATCTCCTTTCTATAGGTATGGCCGTTTGTGCCTCCCTGAAGCCTAACTAAAAAAAAACTCCCAGAGGTGGTGCCCCCCATTTTTCCTGGTTGCTAGGATGTTGCTAGGACACTCCCAGTTATTACTGCTCACCCCCACCATCACAGGAGTGAGCTCTTTCTCTGATTTAAACCCCCACACATGCACTTTGTTCTCCTCAATTGCATTAGTTCTGAGCTAAGCTTTGCTGTAATGGAGGATATAGGGAATTGTGTATGTCTGAAGTTTTAAGAGCTCACTCCTCTGATCATGGGGTGAGCAGTAACAGCTTGGAATGTCTTAGTAATATCCTAGCAACAAGCCAGGGTAAGGGGGGGGGAATAATCTCCAGGAGTTTTTCAGCCAGGCTTCAGGAGGTATGTGAATGGCCTATGCCTATAGCAAATGCATTATCCAACTTTACTTCATGATGCACAGTGTGTTTTTATCTACAGGTGCCCTTTACCCGCATAAGCTATTTTTTGGTAAAAGTTACTTTGTCTCTCAATGAAAACCCATGTGACAACCAGGAGAACAGTAAACAAGTAGACTGTTGTCACTCTATAACAGGAAGTGCCTCAAGGACCTTCATGGCAGTTCACCAGGAGTTATTTTAATATAAAAATGCAAATTTAACAATACACAAAAAGACTTAAATTTACATTAATTTACTAAAGCTAAAATGACATTTTATTGCTTGAGCTTATATATACTTTAAGGCTCTATTCGCACTAGGCTTTTTCAAATTGTGGGCAGCATCAATGCGCTTCTGCCCCACCAATTTGAAAACGTGCCGTAAAAGTGTGAAAATGCAGGGCATTTTTGCAGCGATCGCGCAGGACGCACAACGCCCCAAAAAGTTTTGGTACCTTTTTTTTGGGTGTCGTGTGTCCTGCGATTTTGTTTGCACGATAGCAGCACGTTTTGCTGCGCGGAAAAAAACGAGCTATGATCGTGGCACAAACGCCTTGCATTTTCAGGTACCATTGAAATGAATGGCACCTGAAAACGCAATTACACTTTTACAGCGCGTTTTCAAATCGCTGCAGAAGCTCGGCGATTCCTCCCTCGATTTGCAAAGGCCTAGTGTGAATGGAGCCTAACACAAATGTTCTGATTGGGTCCACCTATCTGTTTTTCAGACGGACCTGATCTGAACGTCTTCTCTATGGAGTGGCTGATGTAGGCCAGTTTTCCTTCTGTGGTCCATTTTATGTCCGACTGCCCATAGACGAGAGTCAGCTGTGTCCGTGTCCACTCTGCATAAGTGGAGCGGACATGGACCTGTCATCTGCCTGCTCAGTGGGGCTCAGCAAACAGATCCCCCTGCTGAGCACACCAATGGCAGGCAGAGTTCATCCCATGTGAAAGGACCCAAAATGAGAATGAGGTAAGGCAATAGCACAGAGAATGAACTGTTCATTTACAGAAACATTTTACATTATTTATAATAGAGCTAACCTCCAAAATAGTTCCTATGAGTTGTTCCCTTGCAACGGGATGGGAAATCTGTCTTTGACGTCATTACATGCAATAATATCTAGCCGTTTGTATTGTACAGGTGTTTGTAATGAACTATAAACTGACCTCTTGGTGCCAATGTTCTAGGATCGGAAGAAGAAGTTTGACAGGGACAGCGAGCGGTATTACTCAGTGCTGGATAAACATCTGAATTTGTCATCCAAGAAGAAGGAGGCCCAGCTCCAAGAGGTGAGAGGCTCAGAAACGGATACAAACTCTTGGACAGAAACAGTCATAAAGCACAAATTATTACATACATCTGCCTGTAGCAAATAATGAAACACCCACGGAAAATGCCAGCATGAATTTAGGAGATGATTGTTTGGGCAGATCTAAATGTGCAGTTCCACATCAGTGAAATATGAGGTTGAAGAGAAGGCCACCAGGCGTGTTCAGTAGGGATGAGTGAAATTGGGGGAGTTAAAGCAAATTTGGGAACTGCATTTGTGTCAACAAAGAAGGCCAGCCATTGTATTGCACTTTGGAACCCTAAAACACTTTACTCACCCTTGATTAGTAGTTTGTAGGTCCTTTTGAACTTGCTCTGAAAGTCTTGAGGGGAAGATGACGTGACCTTTGGGGGAGTCCCACCTAGTACTTGGATGGACCTTGTCTCATCAGATCTCCTGAATAATGGGGTCCACCTACTTTCAGACAGGGATACCACAAGTACCCCCAGTCCCCATCAGGCACTAAAGAACCCTAAAGCACTTTACTCACCCCTAACTAGTCGTGTGTAGGTCTTTTGACTTGAATTATAAAAGGTGCAGCGCTAGGTCTTTTGAATTGACCTGAACATCTTGAAGGGAAGGCACGTAGCCTTATGGTCAGGGTCTCCTCCCATGGGGTCCCCCTTTGGGGTAGCCCCACCTAGTTTTTGGGTGGACCTTGTCTCAGCTGATCCCCTGCAGAATGAGGTCCACCTGGTTTCAGCCAAAGGGAACACAAATACACCAATCCCCATAATGCACTTAAGAAACCTAAAGCCCTGTACTCACACCTGATTAGTAGGGTGTAGGTCTTCCTTTAGGGGAACCCCACCTAGTACTTGGGTGAACCTTGTCTCAGCAGATCCCCTGAAGAGTGGGGTTAACCTGGTTTCAGCAAGGGGGACCACAAGTACCCAAGTCCCCGTCAGGAGTCTAGCGCCCTGGGGCATGAGGGCAAGGAACCTTTCTCTTTAGAGGAGTACCATGTGTACACCCTTTGCACTTTTTTGTGTGGTTCACTTTTTGTTTGCTCACTTTTTTTTTTTATTGCACCTTGTGTTTTTGTTTTGAGTGTTCACACCACACTGCGGGGAAGAAAAAAATTGAGTCAGTGAGGAAGGCAAGATTAAAGTATATTCAAAGCCAAATGTCACAGTCAGGGATCAGACTTGGACGGGGTAGCTATAGCAGTAGAGAGACTCCCACTGAGCAGCTTGATAAGTGAACAAGTGGGTCACCCTGGCAGATGACATAGGCGTACCTGAGGTGCAGGGTCTAAGCACTAACCGGTAATCACCAGAGCTCTCGATGGTGGAGATGGGTTTTGCTGTGTGTTAGTACCAGGTCGCGGTCCTCAGGATCAGGAGGTGAGAAAGCCAGGGCCCAGTAGCAGATATAGCAGGTAGGAATCAAACAGAAGCTTAATCAGTAAACAAGCCAAAGGTTGTTAACAAGTGGTTGAAGGTAAGGATCAAGCAGAAGCGCAGATGAGGACAAGCCAAAGGTTGATAACGAGTGGTAGTGAAGATGCCGACGATTGCAGGAGTGACAAAAACGGGATGTTGGCTGGCAAGAGCAAAATAATCTGTCAAAAAGGAAGTGCAGAGACATGACTTAAATCAGGAAGTTCATGAGAGGAACAAAGAGTTCAAGGTTCCTGAGAAGCAAGACATAAGGTTGTCTAAGCAATGAGGCAGGGAGCTGTCCAGCGTCTCAGATAGCTCAGCGAGGGCGACTTGTTATATATACAACCCAAGGACAGCAAGTGGTTAAAAGGAACCTGTCATGTGAAATAATAAAAAACTGTATTCACCACAGTATACAGTAAATTATTTAATAATGTTCCTATTATCATAGCTGCCTTCAGTTCTTTTTATGGTATTTATGTAATTGTGGCTTTTGAAAAGGGTATATAGACCAATCAGACAATATTCCAAATGGCTAACCTGTTGACTTGGACTTTATTGGGGTATGGGGACCATTATTTTGTAGTCGTGTCGTTTATGAATGTGTATATATATGTTCCTCCCAGGCCGATGTTTTGGTGGACAAAGAAAAGCAGAACGTCTATGAATCTTCACTGGAGTATGTCTACCAGATCCAGGAGGTGCAGGAGAGCAAGAAGTTTAGCATTGTAGAGCCGGTAAGGACCATTGCGCCTGTTTTTCAAGAGTAAACAAAGTCCATACTATTCAGATTAATAGCATCCCAATCTGTCACATCAGACTCACCTGGTGATCCTGCCATAGTGCTTGTAATAGCCACACTTCTGCAATGGTGACAATGCTGTAACTTACACTGAAAGCCCAAACGTATATGGACACGCCTTGAAATGACTGAGCTCAGGTGTTTCCAGTGAAGGGAGCTATTAATTCTACATACAGTGACACATTAGACCTCTATGCGCTTCCAACCTTCTGGTAAGTTTGGTGAAGACCCTTTTCTGTTCCATCATTACTGTACCCGTGTACAAAGCCAGCTCCATGAAGATCTGGTGTGGAAAAACTCACATGATCTGCACTAAAATTGGCTATTATATTGTGTTTATTTTGTGCACTAAAATTAATTTGAGTATATTTTTCTACTAAAAAAAAATGGACATATTTGACAACAGTACATTTTATTCTCCAGGGTCTCAGAGTCTGCTTTCGGTGAATATATGTAATGTTTCGGGAGCTTTACGTAATCTTCAGGCCTAAAATGTGCATTTTAACATATGTAAAACAATAAAATAAAAGGTTAATATCGCTTAGAAGACCACGGTCAGATATTGTAGGGGTGATTGGCTTACTGTACACCAGTGTTTTATTTCCAGAGCCCAGTTAAATTTTCTGTTATGTCAATTTGTGTCTTCTCTTAGGTCCTGGCCTTCTTGCATTGTCTTTTCACTTCCAACAGCCTCACATTTGAGTTGACACAGGATTTCCTACCCTACAAGCAACAGCTGCAGCTGAGCCTTCAAAATGTAAGTCTGCTATAGTGTACCAGTGCGGAAATTTACTAAGAGCCGGCATTGTGGGTCCAATTCCAAGGTCAAATATTCAGTATACATCTTACAAATATTCTGCACGGGTGGTCATAGGTGACATCACAACTTCTGTTTAACCCTATCGTGACTAGAGGTCACTAAAGCTAAAATGTTTACACTACATTTCTCAGTGGCAGTATGTATCTATTAACCATTTCAATACCGGGCAATTTTACACCTTCCTGCCCAGGCCATTTTTCAGGTTTCAGCACTCTCACACTTTGAATGACAATTGCACGGTCATACAGCATTGTACCCAAACTAAAGTTTTATCATTTTCTTCACACAGCTAGAGCTTTCTTTTGGTGGTATTTAATCACCGCTGGGGTTTTTATTTTTTGCTAAATTAACAAAAAAAACCCAAAAATTTTGAAGAAAAAACACGTTTTTCTTTCTGTTATAAAAGTTTGCAAATAAATAATTATTCTTCATAAATTTAGGCCAAGATGTATTCTGCTACATGTCTTTGGTGAAAATAACCCAAATTAGGATGTATTAGTTTGTAGGAAAGTTATCGAGTTCACAAACTACGGTATAGATCTGAAAATTGATCAATCCTGAAGTACTGACAGCCAATCTAATTTCTTGAGGTCCAAGAATGTCAGAACAGCAAAGATATCCCCCAAATGACCCCTTTTTGCAAAGTAGACAGTCTGACGTACTTCATAACAGGCATGACGAGTTTTTTGAAGTTGTGTTTTTTTTTTTTTCATAATTTTTCGGAAAATGAAAAAATTAAAAAAAAATTATTACATACTGTCACCAGTGCAGTACAGCGTCATCATATAACTGGCATGGCGATGATCAGGGACACTGACTGGTGACAGCACGAAAAAAAAAAATATATATAATTTTTTTTAATTTTTTTTTTTATTAATTTTTTATTATTTTTTTTTAAAGATATTTTTCATATTTCACTATGACCAAAGTAGTATGTTACCATCGTAACATTGTACGACTTTGGGGAAGTGATCAGTATTTTTTTATTTTTTTTTTTTACACAATTTGCTTATAGCAAAGAATTACTTTGTTATAAGCAAGCATTTACCTGAATGACATCGATTCATTCAGGGTTTTTTTTTTTTTTTTTGTGCTTAGCTGTGATTTGGCCACAGCTAATCACATGACATGTGCATGTGATCTCTGTGACCATTCACAGCTAGACACTAGTATACAATGGATGGCATGAATGAAGCCATCCATTGTATACAACCGTCATGTGACCTGCTGTGATTGGTCACCAGCAGGTCACATGGTACCGGCAACGGGGGCCGGTACTCGGATCTGTCATCGGCCGTGTCCGAGGTACACGGCCGGTGACAGATCGCGCCGCTGCGAGGCTCTGCAAGCGCGCGAACTGCGCATGCCCAGGAGTATGCCATATGGCGTCCTCCCGGAAAGCTAAAGCATTTTGCCGGTCGCCAAACGGCTATTGGCCAGGTGGCTAATGGTTAAAGTGTATTTAAACCCAAGAACAAAAATGTCATATATTGCAGCTTACCAGTCCTTAGATGTCGTGGCTGTATTAATTTTTAAATTTCAGACTTCTTCTTTTTTCTACATTGTAGTATTGCAGTACCATGCGTTTTGGTGATGTGCATTTTTGAAAAGTGGTGCAAGCACTTTTAGGGCTCGTTTACACTTGCTTTGTTAAAGCATCATGCATTTTTTTAGGATTTACACTCACCGATTGCACTAACACTGGAGCACCCGTATGAGGAGAAAATTATTGTGTTACTCTTGCCATTAGCATGTATGATGGTACTATATGGACATTTATGTTTCACATTTGATTTATAACAAATGCGAATGGTACACTGAGCACTTGTTGTATAGGGACCCACTTTCTTTTTTTGTGCATATCACACTTGAATATTGGGGATTGGTCCCAGTGAGGGACAGGTTTAAGTCACGCGTTTGGGTCCTATTGGACCGCATGTTTTTCTTCTGCACCTTTTATCACCTAATAGATCCTGGCAGTTCTTACGCACCTGTAAGTTTTTTATAACTGTATAAGCGGTTATGTTTATTGATCTGTATCCACTGATTTTATAATTATTTGTATGTGTAAAAATAGCGCTGCACCATTCTGTTTATTATATTACATTGCCCTGATTTAGGTATAGGATAGGGTGTTGGCTGCTTATATCATTATTCCTTCACTCTCAGCAGCGCAGGAGGATCTCCACGTACTGGACTGTAAGGTAACCACTTTATTTAGAGAGAGGCACTTTGATTGGCGTTCAGAGCGCGTTAAAAAAAGAGTGTCCAATGCCACATTTTGAAGCAAGTGTAAACTAGCCCTTACAGTGTTCTGTTGTGATTTGCAGCCCATTAAAATGAATGGGCTGTAAAATCACACCTTACGGGAACGAGTAGGAATCGCACAGGAGCACGCAGACCAAATTTCTGTGCAATTTAGGTGTGAGCCTGGGTTCACACTGATGCGGTGCGGAATTTGCACCGGCTTCTGTGCGAATTCCGCACCACATCACAATCGCACCCCGTTCATGCGAACCGCTGCGGGTGTATATGTTACCTTAACAGCACCCCGAAATCGATCCGCAAAGTGCGGTGCGATGTGCAGGATCGGATCATATAGGTGTGAATACCCATGCGATCTGATTCTAGTACAGACCAAAAAAAGGGTCCTGGACCATTTTGGTGCAGAAATGGTGCGATTTGAGCCATACAGAATTTGCATGTGATTTGCACAGGAATGTGGTGCGGTTCCTGTGCGAATCACATGCGATATGATGCACCGCGCAAGTGTGAACCCAGGCTTAACCAGCTCTTAAGTTCACTCGGTGATCCTGCCAATAGCACACACTGTCCTAGAATGACAATGTTTATTCCCCTTTATTTACAAAGAAACCGTTTTGCTGCCCTGATTTGGATTACAAACCCCTCCCTCGTCACCGTAACGTAGCAAGAAGATGTAAAACCCCCTTGCGTTTCTAAGAAATGCAGGAATTACAGATTACTACTGTGCTGCAGTCATGACATTCTAACACTGATACTACGTCCTTGTCTGGGTGGCACTATGGCTTAGGTCACACTGGCAGCGGCGGTAGTATCTGGTGTAAAAGAGGCCTTCAAGTTTTTTATAAGGTTTTTCCATTGAACCTTGCTCACAAGATATACATGGAGCTAGAAGGAATGAATCATCATGCTATGCTAGCATTCTCAGCGCTTGTCTTTTTCCACAGACTCGAAACCACTTCAGTAGTACCCGAGAAGAAATGGAAGATTTGAAGAAGAGGATGACTGATGCTCCTATGGTGTGCAAGCTGAAAGGCCAGAGCACAATCGAAGGATACTTGTATTCCCAAGAAAAAAGTAATGTGCATTTTCAGCTGCTGGGGGGGGGGGGGGGGACACCGTGTATTTCCTGCTGTACACAGTTTAACATGAACCTGTGGCCAGGCTATTGACATTCAATGCTTTACATATTCTTACCATGCAGTAATTGAGATTTAACGGTGTGTTTAGCTGTTGAGTGACTGCTTGGAAGGGGGAGCTGAGCTGCTGAGTTCCTGCTGGGAGGAGGGAGACAGGGAAGATGTGCTGCTACTCATTGCTCGGAGGGGGAGCGGGGGAAGCTGAGCTCTTGAGTGACTGCTGGGAAGGGGAAGACGGGCTATCTGAGCTGCTGAGTTACTGCTGAGAGGAGGGAGAAAGGGAAGATGTGTTACTAATCACTGCTGGGAGGGGGAGAAGGGGACGCTGAGCTGCTGAGTGCCTGCTGGGAGGAGGTAGAAAGGGAACATATTCTTCTAGTCACTGCTCAAAGGGGAGCAGGGGAAGCTGAGCTGTCAAGTGATTGCTGGGAAAGGGGGAGCTGAACTGCTGAGTCCCTGCTGGGAGGAGGGAGACAGGGGAGCTGTGTTGTTGAGCCACTGCTGGGGACAAAAGGCTTAGCTACTGAGTCACTTCTGGGAGGAGGGAACAGAGGAACTGTGCTGCTGAGTCACAGCTGGGAGGAGGGAGCAGAGGACCTGGGAGCTGAGCTACTGAGTCACTGCTGGTAGGTGGGAGCAGGTGGAGCTGAACTACGGCAGTACATGCCAGCCATCAGAAAAGAGCACAAAGGCTGCCCTCACTGACTTGAAAAAACTGATATGCACTTTCAAAGTCGATGAATGAGAAAGTGGAGAATTTATGGTAAAAATAATGGTATACAGGCTGTTTCACGAGAAGTCTATTTAGCATTCACAAGCACATACTGTAGCCCATCATACCACTGTTCAGATGCTAAAATAATATTTATCACTTTTGCCTAATTGATGTTGGTTGCCATAATGCCTTTTTGTTTTTTTTCTTTTCTCAATTTGCCAACTGAGGGAGGGATATTATGTCACTTTGCACAGGTTTAAATACATTTTTGATGATTATATATTCCACCATGCGCTCCTCCACAGGTTCAAGCATTGTCTTCCATGATTATGTATGTTATGATATGCTCCATCACATTCAACGTGCTAGTTTTACAGAATGTGGCCAAAAGTTTGTGGACACCTGACTATCATGCCTTTAGCTTGTTGGACATCCCATTGCAAAACTTAATAATATGGAGTTGACCCCCCCCCCCCCCCCCCATTTGCATCTGTAAAAGCTTTCACTTTTCTGGGAAAGCTTTCAACAAGTTTTGTAGGGTGTCTGTGGTAATTTTTGCCCATTCGTAAGCTCAGGTACTGATGTTAGATGAGAAGACCTGGTTCGCAACTGGCATTCAAATTAATCCCAGAGGTGTTCAGTGGGATTGAGGTCAGGTACTGATGTTGAATAAGAAGACCTGATCCCAGAGATGTCCAGTAGGGTTGAGGTCAGGAACTGATGTTGAATGAGAAGACCTGATCCCAAAGGTGTTCAGTAAGGTTGAGGTCAGGTACTGATGCTGGATGAGAAGACATGATCCCAAAGGTGTTAAGTAGGGTTGAGGTCAGGTACTGCTGTTGAATAAGAAGACCTGATCCCAAATGTTTTCAGTAGGGTTGAGGTCAGGTACTGATGTTGAATGAGAAGACCTGATCCCAAAGGTGTTCAGTAGGGTTGAGGTCAGGTACTGATGTTGAAAGAAAAAATCTGATCCAAAAAGTGTTCAGTAGGGTTGAGATCAGGCTGTTGTGCAGGACACTCAAGTTCTTCCACACCAAACCGGCCAAACCATGTCTGTACGGAGCTAGATTTGTCCACAGGTTCACAGCCATATTGGAACCGAAAAGGGTCTTCACCAAACTGTTCCCTCAAGGTTGTTAGAGCACAGTTGTCTAAAATGTCTGAGTATGCTGTAGTAATAACAGGACCCTTCAATGGGGACACCTGAACTTAAACATTTGGAGGAGGGTCCACATACTTTTGGCCACATAGTAAGTGTGATGATTAGGTGTCTAGACTTTGGCCATATAGTGTAGTCTGCATACATTGCTGTCAATTCCATTGCTAAACCATACTGTCACCAAACCGGCATCAGAGGAGAATTTTCCTATTAGAATGTAAGGAATCACTGAAATCTTTATATGATCTGAATGTCTTTTTTATGGCTTCCAGGGGCCCTCGGCCTTACATGGGTGAAGTATTACTGCAAGTATGAGAAGGAAGGGAAGAGTTTAAGCTTAATTCCTGTAGAGCAAAAGCCAGGCTCTCGGCAGGTAAGTTTAAGCACTTGATGCTTTCTATGGTTATTGTTGGATAAAATGCTATTCTGAAGCATTGGTTGAATGAAAGGAATGGTTTAATAAAGGAGCTGCAATACTTTTCGTGGAGGTATGGCCCTTTTAAAAAGGCCTATGCTTGATTCAGTAAAGCACTGTGATGGTTTTGAAAGAAGAACCATCATCTGCTCCAGATTCAGGTAGTTCTTATTTCTGGCACTTTAGGAATCCATCGCTATTACTGCAAGGACAATAAGCAAACTGATGCTAATTAACCCCAACTCTGAGCTGGAATACAGAGATGCCAGTGCTCAAAAATGCAGGGCATTTTTTTGCTGGGAAGCTGTCATGAATGTGACAGGTTCCCGCATAGGTCTTAGGGTTGCTAGGACAAAGGTGGCCTCCAGCTACCTAGCAACCAATGTCTAATCCCTGGTGCCTCTCAGCTGCCAGCCTGAGGTTTCCCCAAGCCAGCAGCTGAATGTAAACAAACGTGCAAGGGATGTTTGCTGCAATCGTCATATTTGGATAATGACTAGAATCTCCCAGCAAGCATCTAAATGTGGCCAGGGATGCATCATTGGTTGCTATGATGCTGTCGGTTGCATCTGACAGTGTCTTAGCAGCCAGTGATGATTTACTTCTGGGGCTTAACATGCACTGAGAATAGGAGTGTCCACAATTTAGACACTGTAAGCTTGTTGTCACCACCCCCCCCCCTTCCCACTTCATTATGCCTTTAATAAATTCATAATTCATGTACTTGTCTCTGACCGGTACCTGAATTTTCCGCAGGAACTGACATTTATTGTGCAGAGGCATGACAGAATCATTAAGAGTGTCACAGACACGTTTGTACTGGACGATCACTTCACAGTAAAGGATAGCAATGTTTCTGAGCCGTGCAGGACCCCTTCATCAGGCATGTGACAGTCATGTGATACAAAGCTTTATACTGGGAAACTCCATAAAAGGGCCCAACATTTAATTGAACGATAACATCACAGCAAAGAAAAGCGACATTTTGGAGCTCCACAGGACCGTTTCATCAGGCATGTGACGATCATATGCCTGATGAAGGGGTCCTACGGGGCTCTGAAATGTCACTACTCTTTGCTGTGATGTGATTGTTCAATAAAATGTTGGGCCCTTTTATGGAGTTTCCCGGTATAAAGGTTTGTATCACTTGAGTTATATATAAGAATTTTATTGAAGTTGACAGTTCACATGTTTTATAAGTAGAGCGAACATGTTTCGGGGGAAATGCCTCCCGTCTTCATCAGGGCTGTGATGGGAGGTGTGGTCAGAACAGACCTGGAATTGGGATTCAAGCTAAGAGTATGGCCTAATTATAGAGTACTGGCATGTCCTTGAAAGCAGAAAGAGTAGAAGACACGCACGCTACCAAGTAGGAGATCCAGAAACTTTGTTATATAAATCCAGGGATAAAAACATCACAGCCCCACTAAGTCCAGAGCAGACGTTGATGCGTTTCACGCCAAGAAGCGTTTAGTCAAGTTTTCATAGCTGTGAATCACACCGGCACCTCCCAGGGGAGGGTAAAACTAGGATCAAGGTGGGCCATCCTGGAGCGTAGAGAGTATTATCTGTTTTGTGTTTTTTTTTAAAGGCTAGCCCTTGCCTCAATTGCAATACATGGATCATGATTACTCCATGCTGGTAGTGTCCTGCTTGGGATTCAAAGTATGGCAGAAGTGCTAACCACTAAGACACTCTGCTATCCTTCTGAACCATCTTACAAATACCTGGTACTTCTTGGTTTGGGAAAACTTGTGACCTTCTCTTCCTCCCCGGATGCATTGTTTGGGTGTGACCATCTAATCTCCAGTCTCAAACACTGTCAAACAGAGGAGGGGAGAAGGCCATTAACCTAGTCTAGCTCTGACATTGAGCTTACTCAGGTTTTGGACTTCTGTTTCCGATGGAGGAATGGACTGGCAAGGGAAGGCACAGAAGGTACTGTACAGCGTTTTTCAAGGGGGCTTGTAACTAATGAAAGCATGGCATGGATGGGCGACAAAAAAAAGTGCTCCACAAGTTACTCTTGGATGGGCATAGAGGCATCCTCCGTGTAAAAGTTTGTCACACTTGGATTATATTTAAGAAGTTTATTGAAGTTGACTAGTCACATATGATAAGTAAATCCAACACGTTTTGGGGAAAATGCCTCCATCCTTCTTCAGACATGGGTTTGTATTGGCGCAAAATGAATGACCCCTGTAGATGTGCCAGTGCCTTACATGAAAGTTTTGTAGGTATAAAGAAGCAGCAGCAAGTCCATCCAGTTAAGGAGTTTCAGTGAAAAAGAGGAAGTCGGCACATCAAGGTGAACTTTCTGACAGAGAGAGCAAACCATCTCCAAGGAACATGTAAAATAGAAAATATAGAGGTGCCTCTGAGTGTAGACTGTTAGCAGATTTATTGGATAAAACAGGGTTAAACTCCACGTGCATTTCGTAAGATAACAACGAGCACATCAATAGTCCATAGTCCATGTGAGAGAGGTCATGAGCTCCCGCTGTAGATGCTGCTGCTCTGCTGGACCCGAGGCCAGCTGGAAGGAGAAGGAGGACCAGATCGAGGGCTGGAACGCTTGGTGGAACGTAGCATGGAGCATGATGATGTCACCGGATGTGATTACGGCGCGTTTCGGAGCATGCGCACAATGGAGAAGATGATCGGGTGCGCTCCTTTTTCACACTTAGCTATGTACTATGAACTATTGATGTGCTCGTTTTTATCTTTCGAAATGTGAGTGGATTTTAACCCTGTTTTATCCAATAAATCTGCTAACAGTCTACACCCAGAGGCGGCTCTATATGTTCTATTTTACATCCACCCTTCTTCAGGGCTGTGATGGAAGGTGTGCTCAGAACAGAGCAGGATCCAGTATTTAGCGAATAGTGTGGCCTGTTCGATGCTGTCAAATTGTAGCGTAACTACTCGCCCTTGCCTATATTGCAATACATGGATCAAGATTACTCTGTGCCAGTATTGAACTGTGTGGGATTCAAAGTGAGGCAGAAGTGCTAACCGCTAAGAAACTGCTGTCCTTCAGAACCTTCTTAGAAATACATGGTACTTCTTGGGATGGGAAAACTTGTGACCATCTCCTCTTCCTTCCAGAATGCAGTGCTTGGGTCTGGCCAGCCAAACCCAAACACTACCAAATGGGGGAAGGGAAAAGGTCATCAATTTGGTATAAGCTCAAAAATGAGCTCTGAGGAAGAAGGGACTCCCTTCGAAACGCGTCAGCTGTACTGAACACCTATTCCCCTGATGGGACTCATGTTATCTTCAAGTCCCTGAGAGGACTTACATGCCTGATTTTATTCGCTGTTTGTGAGTATGTTCTTTACAAGTAATAAATTTTGGTCGCTGAGGTAATGCGCAAGGCTGGTGCGCTTCTTGTTTTTTATTTCATTTTACAGTCAAAAATGTCCTATACACAGGCTTTGGTTTCTGATGGAGGACCGAACTGGCAAGGGAAGGCGCAGATTTTCGTGTATGTGTCTGTCTGTCACAGTGGCTAAATGGTTAGCACTTCTGCCTGGCAGTACTAGGGTTGCTGGTTCGAATCCCAACCACGGCACCACCTGCCTGGAGTTTGCATGTTCTCCCTGTGCCTGCGTGGGTTTCCTCCCACTCTCCAAAGACATGCTGGTAGGTGAATTGATTCCTGTCTAAATTGGCCCTAGTATGTGTATGTATGAATCTAAGTTAGGGACCTTAGATTGTACACCCCTTGAGGGCTAGGAACTGATGTGAATGTACAATATATATGTAAAAATCGCTGCGTAAATTGACAGCGTTATAGAAGTACCTGAAATAAATATATAAATACTTTTTATATATTTTTGGTAAACAATAGGTTGCAGTGTGTGTACACAATGGCATGATGTAAGCTTGTGTAATTGTGTCTCTGTCCAGTGACACTCTAATCCTGTTTGTCTACAAGGAAAGCCTTTATGATAATCTTCCCATCGCCATCTGTCACCAGACAGGAACACGACTTCTTCACCATCTCTAGTCCTGTCCCTAGTGACGTACATTACTCACTTACTGCCCTTATCTTCTCACTGCTGCTCTGTACCTACCTTATAACTTGGCATCGGATTCCCTGTCGTCTCCATTTCTCATTTCACCTTTCTTCTTGCTGTTCCTTCATCCCGTGATCATTGCTGCTGTCTCACCCCACCGTTTTCCAATGACAGTTTACTCCAGGCATCCTCTTCCCTCTTCCTTTTAGGTGAGCCAGGAGCTGTCCCTCAAGTCTTGCATAAGAAGGAAGACGGATTCCATTGATAAGAGGTTTTGTTTTGATGTAGAGACCAATGAGAGGTGAGTACCACTGATATAAATGACACTTTGGATGTAGGCTATCATTGAACACTCTTTTTGGAAAATGCTAGTTACCCACTTCAGCTCCAGGCCATTTCCAACACTTTTTGTTTACATGTAACAGTATTTTTTTACTAAAAAATGTCTTAGAACCCCAAAACATTATATATTTTTTAAAGCAGGGGCCCTAGAGAATAAATTGGTGGTTTTGGCATTTTTTTATGTCACACAGTATTTGCGCATTGCTTTTTCAAATGCAAATTTTTTTGGGGGGAATATCCACTTTTTTTATTTATTGCAAAAAAATACTGTACATAACTGTTTTTTTTTTTTTTTGGACATTATAAAAGATGATGTTATGCCGAGTAAATAGATGCCAAACATGCCATGCTTTAAAATTACGCATGCCCGTGCAACGGCGACAAACAACATAGATTTTACTATTCTTAGGCAACGTTTTAAAAGCCTGTACAGGTTGCAACTTTAAATTTACCGAGCAGGTCTAGTGCTAGAATTACCGCCCATAATCTTACTTTCGTGGCGATACCTCACATTTCTGGGGCGATCGTTTTTTGTGTTTGTGCAGGGCTGATGCATGTGTTGGCTTTTGCGAAGCACGGGGGGGGGGGGGGGGGCAGAGCACTTTATTTTTTTTTTAATTTTTTTTTTAAATTTTTTTTACACTGTTGCTTTATTTTTTATTGCTGTCACAAGGAATGTAAACATCCCTTATGACAGCAATGTGTGTGTGTAGATAGATAGATAGTTGTGCTCAATAGTTTGCATACTCTGACAGAAATGGTGACATTTTGGAATTTATATGATTGATCATATCAATCCGTTTATTTAACCACTTCCATACAGGGCACTTTTACCCCCTTCCTGCCCAGCCAATTTTCAGGTTTCAGTGCTCTCACACTTTGGGTACAATGTTGTATGACTGCGCAATTGTCATTCAAACTAAAATTTTATAATTTTCTTCACACAACTAGAGATTTTTTTTGGTGGTATTTAATCACCGCCGGGGGTTTTTATTTTTTGCTAAATTAACAAAAAAAGACCAAACATTTTGGAAAAAAACACGTTTTTCTTTGTTTCTGTTATAAAAAGTTTGCAAATAAATAATTATTCATAAATTTAGACCAAAATGTATTCTACTACATTTCTTTGGTGAAAATAACCCAAATTAGGATGTATTATTTAGTTTGTAGGAAAGTTATAGAGTTCACAAACTATGGTATAGATCTGAAAATTGATCAATCCTGAAGTACTGACAGCCAATCTAATTTCTTGAGGTCCAAGAATGTCAGAATAGTGCAGAAATCCCCCAAATGACCCCTTTTTGCAAAGTAGACAGTCCTACGTACTTCATAAGAGGCATGGCGAGTTTTTTGAAGTTGTAATAATTTTTTGTCATTTTTTGGAAATTAAGAAATTAAAAAAATGATTTTCACTTTTTTTTTTTTTACATACTGTCACCAGTGCAGTACAGCGTCATCATATAACTGTCATGGCGGTGATCAGGGACACTGACTGGTGACAGTACGAAAAAAAAAAATTTTTTTTTTATTACCTTTTTTTCTATTTTTTTAAGATTTTTTTTTTTTTTTCATATTTCACTATGTCCAAAGTATTATAATGTTACCATAGTAACATTGTACTACTTTGGGAAGTGATCAGTATTTTTTTTTTTTTTTTTTGTACACAATTTGCTATAGCAAAGAATTTCTTTGCTATAAGCAAGCATTTACCTGAATGAAATTGATTCATTCAGGGTTTTTTTTTTTTTTTTTTTTTTTTTTTTTTTTTTTTTTTTTTGTGCTTAGCTGTGATTTGGCCAGGGGCAATCACATGATTGGCCCAGCTTGTGCATGTGATCGCTGTGACCATTCACAGCTAGACACACTTGTATACAATGGATGGCATGAAAGGAAGCCATCCATTGTATACAACTGTCATGTGACCTGCTGTGATTGGTCACAGCAGGTCACATGGTACTGGCAACGGGGTCAGGACACAGATCTGTCATTGGCCGTGTCCTGGGTACAGGGCTGGTAACAGATCGCGCTGCTGCGCTGCCCTGCGTGCAGGCGCAATGCACATGCCTGGAAGGACCCATATGGCGAACACCCGGAGGGATGAGCTGTTCGCCCCTGGCCCGCCATCTGGCTATAGGTTGGGCAGCAACTGGTTACGGATAGTGATCATATGAAGCCATTTATTATCACATAGTTCTTTTTGGCTCCTTTTTAAATCATAATAACAGAAATTTCCCAAATGGCCCTGATTAAAAGTTTCCATCCCCTGGAATGTTTGGCCCTGGTACAGACACACAAGGTGACACACACACATTAAAATGACAATTAAAGGTTAAATTTCCACATCTGTAGCTTTTCAAATTGAAATTGGTGGTGTCAGTGTATAAATCGTCAATGAGTTTGTTAGCTCTCATGTGGATGCACTGAGCAGGCTGGATATTTGAGCCATGGAGAGCAGAAAAGAACTGTCAAAAGACCTGCGTAACAAGGTAATGGAATTTTAAAAAGATGGAAAAGGGTATAAAAAGAATATCCGAAACCTTGAATACGCCAGTTAGCACTGTTCGATCACTTATTAAGAAATGGAAAATTGGGGGATCTCTTGATATCAAGCCAAGGTCAGGTAGACCAAGAAGTCTTGCAGCCACAACTGCCAGAAGAATTGTTTGAGATATAAAGAAAATCGCACAGGTAACCTCAGCAGAAATAGAGGCTGCTCTGGAAAAGAGACCGTGTGGCTGTTTCAAGGAGCACAATAAGACGCTACTTAAATAAATATGAGCTGCATGGTCGAGTTGCCAGAAAGAAGCCTTTACTGCGCCAATGCCACAAAAAAGCCCAGTTACAATATGCCTGAAAACACCATGCAGCTCATTTTTGTTCAAGTATCATCGTATTGTGCTCCTTGAAACAACCACAAAGTCTTTTTCCATTGACTATTTATACAAAGACACTAATTGCAAGTTAAAAAGCCACAGATGGGGGGAAATTAACCTTTAATTGCCATTTTAACCCGTGTGTGTCACATTGTTTGTCTGCACCAAGGCGAACATTCCAGGGGATGGAAACTTTTGATCATGGTCATTTGGGTGATTTCTGTTATTATGATTTAAAAAGGAACCAAACAACTACTAAATGGCTTTATGTGATCACTATCCTTAAATAAAAGACAGATTTGTGGCAGGATCAGTCAATTTTCAATATCAATGCCAAAATTTCACAATTTCTGCCAGAGGGTGCAAAGTTTTGAACACAACTGTATATATAGGGGTCTGCTATCACATAATAACTAAGCCTTGTTATGGGAAGATTTGTAATGTCTGTCTCACTATTTCTAAGGCTCCATTCACACTTGTGCGACTCCAAAGTCGTGCAATTTCTATTGCAACTTTGGATGGGTGTGACTTTGACTGCTGACTTTGACTGTTGCATTGATAACATTAAGATGTGAGTTTCATGCGACTTTTGAGAGTTTACATTGCTGTCTGACACTCGGGTTGCATCAACGTAGTGCAGGGACCTTTTTAAAGTCGCTTAGATTTGAAAGGCTTTCATTGTAATACATGGGCTGCGACATGTCATGTGACTTTGTGTCCAAAGTAGCACAAGTATGACTGGAACCTAAGTGAACCTGTGCAAAGCAACATGTCCCTTTTAAATTAGACCTCCATAGACCCTCTACTGACAGTCACTGGAGTCATAGCTCACACCAGATGGGGACTCCCTGTTTGGCCACAGTGGGCGAATTTGGAAACAGTGGGCGAATTTGGAAACAGTGGGGGAGATGTACTAAAACTGGAGCACACAGAAACTGGTTGCAGCTGTGCAGTAGCCAATCAGCTTCTAGCTTTAGCTTTTTTAATTCAGCTCTGACAATAAAACCTGGAAGCAGGTTTTGCGCAGAGGTGCAACCAAATCTCTGTGGGTTATTAATGAATCTCCCCCATTGCTGTCAGAAGGACTTCATGCAATGAAATATACACTACCGGCAGAAATAATCTAATAAAAATGAAAAGGAAAAAAAAAATATATATGACCTAGTGTTTTATCCCACAGTAAAAAGGCTTTCAATATTAAACAAAAAAAAAAAATTATAATATGATTCTGTAAATAAAAAATGTCCCACACAAACAGTGAATTGTGCTGTTGAATCTTACAATATATATAAAAAAGCGGTGACTGCTTTGTGCCCTTAAGTAGCCACCTCAGATGAATAGCCTGCAATTAGGCTTATTAAAACTGGAACCTAAGTTTTAGCAAAAACTCCTGTGTGAAAGATATAAAAAGGAAGACAAAAGGATGCAAAAAAAAGCAACATGTGACCCAGTTTTCAAATTAGAATCGCAAGGAGTCCAAGATAAAGGAGTGAACCCCTACAGGAGATTCTTTTTTTAATCAAATGGCAGTCTATGGATAAAAACACATTGAAAAACTAGAAAAAAAAAAAAAACCAAAGGTTAAAAAAAAAATTGCAGAGGGAGGATATCTTCACTTAAGGAGGAAAAACAAGCAGTCACCTTTTTTAATATAGGAAGATTTCAACAGCAAAAATTCACTGGTGTGGGAATTATTATTATAAGGAATCAAAATAATTGTTTTTATTTGTTAATGATTGAAGAAGCAAAAGTCAACTGGGGATAAATTACTAAAACTGGATTAAAACACAAAAAATGATTCCAAAGAAAGCTGTAGTGTTCAATAATACAGATGGAAAAGCGCAATACCTTATTTATTTTTTATTTTCACTTTTCAAGGTGTTATATTGGCTCGCAAACAAAAAAAAGCTGTTTGGTTTTTACGCAGAGGTGCACCAAAAATACCAGTTTTAATAAATCTCCCCCATTGACAGCATTGTCACCCTGTAACAAGGACCTTCCATGGCAGGATTACCGGGAAATACTTTAAAACCCATCTGAGGAAACTTAAAAATGATTCCCCTGAAGTGGTGCTCGCTCATACTGCAAGGGGTAATTGCTCATTTAGGTCTAGGGGACTTGTTAGGTGCTTGTTAAGTACTAACCTGATCCTCTGCACTGTTGGACTGGTCCCCGCAGCGTCATTTCCCTATGATCTGGCAGTCTAAGGTCCTGATGACATCAATACCAATGTAGGGTCCGTAGCCCTGCACTGCACGTGATGACACCGAGGGACAGTCCACCGCCATAACATGGAGGAGCGCCATCTGCCAGGGGAAGAGGATCATGCAAGTCAAAGTGCTTCTCCTCTCCCCTAAATAAAACGGGCAGCTAACCCATGCAGTGCAGATGCAGCTCCATTCTAAGGGATCATTTTTACATTTCCCAGTGTTGGTCTTTAATGAAAGCTGCAGATTTAAAATGATTGGAATCTGCTTTTGAAATAACTATTAAAAGTGAATGGGATTTCAATGATTGGGTAAAAATCATGCTGGAGATACTTCATGGGACATTTATATTTGCTGTGGGGTTGAGTGTGGAGGATTGTTTCCTTCTCAGATAATTCAGGTCAATGGTGGGCTTACTGCAATGGAGTTAGATCTTGCTTTGTGTGTGCTGTGAACTGGAATAATAGTGTCTGCCATCCTGTGTTTCAGACAAAGCATCATCACTTTTCAGGCCCTTTCCGAAACGAATCGCCGCCTGTGGATTGAAGCGATGGATGGGAAAGAGCCGGTGAGTATAGTTTTTTCTATGGTTGGAGTGACCTCTACTGCCCAATCCTAATTCTGCAACCTGCAAACCTTCACCAGCTGCACTAGAGAAATGAAGGGGACTTTATGTGCAAAACAACACCATACTACTATGTAATAAATCTTTCTAAATAAATGCCCTTTAATGATGATGCACACCTTAAAGTGGAATGCCAGGGAAAAAAATGTTTGCTGTAGGCACAGGTGAAATAAGGAGGGGACACCATAAGTGTGTCTTTGAGTTGGTTTTATTTTTGCGGTGAGTTCCAGTCCACAAAGTGGTTAGACAGGGCTCTGTGTGGTCCAATTGAGTTCCTCCAAACCAAACTGGAATTTGTGCCTATATGTAAGGTTAGGGTCTAATGTTGGATGAGAAGACCTGGCTCACTATTGGTGTTCCAATTCATTTCAAAGATGTCCAGTAGGGTTGAGGTCAGCTTTCTGTGTAGGCCACTTGAGCTCCTAATCGCTACACTCATCAAACCATGTCTTTGGGAATATGTGACTATATGTGAGGTCAGGTACTGGTGTTGAATGAGAAGACCTGGCTCACGACTGGCATTCCAGTTCATCCCAAGGGTATTCAGTAGGGTTGAGGTCAGGGCTCTGTGCAGCCCACTTGAGCTCCTCTTCACCACTCTCATAAAGCCATGTCTTTGGGAATTTGTGCCTGTATGTAAGGTTAGGTTCTGATGTTGGATGAGAAGACTTGGCTCACCATTGGTGTTCCTATTCATCCCAAAGGTTTTTTCAGTAGGGTTGAGGTCAGGGCTCTGTGCAGGCCACTTGAGCTCTTCTTCACCACATTCATCAAACCATGTGTTTGGAAATGTTGTGAGGTCAAATACCGATGTTGGAGGAGAAGACCTGGTTCACAATCGGTTTTCCAATTCACCCCAAAGGTGCTTAGTAGGGTTGAGGTCAGGCGCTGATGTTGGATGAGAAGACCTGATCCCAAAGGTTTTCAGTATGGTTGATGTTGGGTACTGCTGTTGAATGAAAAGACCCAATCAAAAAGGTGTTCAGTGTGGTTGAGGTCAGGGCTCTGAGAAAGCATGTTCCTCCATTCCAAGCTCCTCAAACCATGTCTTTATGGAGCTGGCTTTGTAAACAGGGGCACAGCCATGCTGGAACAGAAAAGGGTCTTCACCAAACTGTTACCACAAGGTTTGAAGCTCACACTTGTCTAAAATGTCTTTGTATAATATAGTATTAACAGGACCCTTCAATGCAATCATGTTTAAGAAATCCATATATGTTTGGCCATATACTGTAGGTAGGTGAGATGGTTAGGTTTCCACATTTATTTGGCCAACACTGTAGAAAACTTTTCAGAAATGTCTCAACCAGCAGTCCTAAAGAGTACAGCTCAGAATGTCAGATCTAGCGCGTAGCTATGCTAGGGTTTTATGTAGCAGCCAACATGCCCATGTCTCATAATATTTGAAGTGGGGTTTTTTTAGTTTGTTAGATGATAATTTGGTTTTGCTGAATTCTGATGGCTCCACAAAGTATAAATACTGTATACAAAGAAATAGATTCATCTGTGTACACAAATCTTTTCATTCTCAAATCGCCATCCAGATCCAAAATGTTCCTTATTGTCTGTAACACTGTTTGCTTTTCTATGGCCAAAGTACAGCCATGATAAAGTATACTTTATGATTCTATTGAATTTTGTAGTAGTAACTGAGCAATGGTGTAACCATAGACATGGCAGCTCAGTCAGCTGCTATGGAGCCCTGGAGTAGAAGGTATCCCTACTAGGGAAGGCAGTGTGTATGTAAGGATAACACAGATCCAGTGTTCAGTGTTCTCCCATCGGTGAGCAGATTTGCTGCCATCAGAGCTTCTGATCATACTGGCTATAAGTCTGATAATAAAGTGGTACCGAAGCCTAAGGGCTGGATCACACTGGGAATTGCACAGGAATGCACCATGCTTTCCTGTGTAATTCACATGCAGTTCTGTGCTGTGCAGTTTCAGACCATTCATTTTGAATGGGCTGAAATCGCACCGCACCAAAAATAGTGTATGAACTAATTTTGGAAACGCCCTGCAGCCAGATCTCATAGTATTTTTGTACCGTGCGATCCGGTGCAGGCAAATGCACAGCATTTGCAACCTGCGTTTGTGGTGTCATTATCTTATTATTGTGTATTAGCAATGTGGTGCAATGAATGCGGGTTTCCCGCACCGCGTTCTGGTGTGAACTGGTCCTTAAGGTTTTTTTTTTTCAACTTAGCGCTTTCTCTACAATAAGGTAAAAAACCTTCTGTGTAGATTTTTCCTCCCCAGTTCCCCCCTTTTATACTTACCTTAGCCCAATCTTAGTCCAGTGCTATGCACAAGAGCTGCGGCTCTCTCTGCGCTCTCTTCCTGGCTCTTGCTGCTGTCAATCAAATTCTGTGATGAGGGAGTGGAGGCAGGGTGGAGACACACTGTCTATAGACAGAGACAGGGTGGCTCAGGATCGAGCTCGCATGAGTGCCTCCATAGGAAGTGGCCATGGGAACACTTGCAGCAGAAGAGGAGCCAGGAGCGCCAGCAGGGAACCTCAGAAAAGGAGGATCGGGGCTGCTCTGCGCAAAGCCATTACAAAGAGCAGGCAAGTACAACATGTTTATTTAAAAAAAACGCACAAAGATTTACAATCACTTTGACTATGACTGCTGCAGTCTTCCTGAGGCTAAAAAAAATCCCAGAGTGTCTTTTCAGAGAAAAACTATTAATCCACAAAGTTTGCATTAGGATTTCCAAGTACTTGTGCTTAGGACAACTAACCATTGTCTATCAATATAAAATTAAAATATACGTTTTTATTGACAGAAAATAGCACTTGTTGGCTGGGGTTTTGGAATGACTTAGAATTTACACCGAAGCCCTAAAATTTTATACACCAAGCGATTTGATAATGTACATTTAAAGGTAATTTCCTTCAAAGCTGCTCTTCCCTGGCAACTTCTATGGAAGTCTGGACAGTTCTCCTATACTCTACTTTGTTAGTGATTGTATAGGTTTTTTCTTTTGTTTTTTGTTTTTTTTGTTTTTTTTTTTCAAATGACAAACATGTTATACTCACCTGCTCTGTGTAACGGTTTTGCACAGAGCAGCCCCGAACTTCCTCTTCTAGGGTCCCCCGCCGACGCTTCTGGCTCCTCCTGCCTTCTGAGTGCCCCCATAGCAAGCTGCTTACTATGGAAACACTTGTGCGTGCTCGCTCCCAAGCCACACTGTGGGCATCTATTGACATCCCATGCTCTATTGACACCAGTGGCTCCCTCCGCTTTCACTGAGTGCGGGATCAAAATTTGGCTTGAGTAAGGAAGGGGAGCTGCACATAAAAGGTGTTTTTTTTTGTTTTGTTTTTGGTTTTGTTTGGTTTTTTTTTTTTTTGTTTTTTTTTTTTTTTCCTAGGGATGTACCAATACCCTTTTTTGAACGGCAAGTACGAGTACCAATACTTTTAGTCAAGTACTCACCAATACCGAGTACAGATACTTTGCGGTGCGATTTGCATCAGTACAAAATGTATGGAAGCAAATTGCACTGCAAAGAATAGCATGTGATTTCCTGTCCAAATCGTATGCAGTTTCTCCACTGCTCCTGTGTGAACCCAGGCTTGTCATAGCCTGAGTTCACACAGGAGCAGTGCAGGAAACTTCCCTGCACCGATCCCATGCTGAGCAGAGTGGGAGAGAAGGGCGTGTGGGGATGTATACCTTGGTCGCAGATGGAGGCAGATGCTTCAGATTCTCAACTGTAGGAGAGGAGAGAAAAGTGCTGGGATTTCAAATCCCCAGACCTGTGAAGCAGCTTTCTGTCCTCTGGCCACTCAAAAGTCCTCTAGCATGAACTGTCATTCCTGCAAGGCGAGGAGAGAGAGCTGTGGGAATTTCCAGTATCGGTAGCATTTTTTTACGATTACTCCTGAAAATACTTGTATTGGTGCATCAGTATTTTTTACCTTTTAAGTGAAAGTTCACTCTCTCAATCAACTTTGGCTATTTTTTAACCATTATGCTGCTATTTTTAGTGAATAGATAGGAAGGTATATTATGGGCAGCACAGTGGCTAAATGGTTAGCACTTCTGCCTGGCAGTACTAGGGTCGTTGGTTTGAATTCCAACCATGGCACCACCTGCCTGGAGTTTGCATCTTCTCCCTGTGCCTGTGTGGGTTTCCTCTGGGTACTCCAGTTTTCTCCCACACTCCAAAGACATGCTGGTAGGTGAATTAGATCCTGTCTAAATTGGCCCTAGTATGTGTATGTATGAATGTGAGTTAGGGACCTTAGATTGTGCGCCCCTTGAAGGTTAGGGACTGATACGAATGCACAATATATATGTAAAGCGCTGCGTAAAACTGACAGTGCTATATAAGTACCTGAAATAAAAAAAAATGTTTACTCTCCTTTTTATTAGTTTTTGAAAAGATTGAGGTAAAAAAGAACAATGTCCACGACTGACCAAAATGTGCACACATATTCAAAGAAGGCAAACACATGCATACCCGTACATACATCGAATATACAGTAAGGCCTGCAATAACCAGAGCACTGTAGTCTGAGCATAAAAAAGAAAGAGGAAAGACAGCAATGCTCATTTTGGAAAATAACAAAATGCATATTGGGTATGGTAATGTAAGCTAGGCACACAGAAAACAATAGGGTTTCAATACACTCACCTGCCACTTTATTAGGTTCACCTGTTCAATTGCTGGGTAACACAAGTTGCTAATCAGCCAATCACATGGCAGCAGGTCAATGCATTTAGACATCTAGGCATGGTGAAGAAGACTTGCTGAAGCTCAAACTGATCATCAGAATGGGGAAGAAAGGGGTTTTAAGTGACTTTGAACGTGGGATGGTTTGTTGGTTCCTGACGGGCTGATCTGAGTATTTAAAAATGTTGATCTACTGGGATTTTCATGCGCAACCATCTCTAGATACAGAGAATGGTCCGAAAAAGGAGAGGAGAATGGGCAGACTGGTTGCTGTGACATTCAGATGGTAGGGCCAGAATTTGGCGTAAACATGAAAGCATGGATCCATCCTGCCTTGTATCAACAGTTCTGGCTGGTGGTGGTGGTAGTGTAATGGTGTGGGGGAGATTTTCTTGACACTAGCAAGGTGTACCTAATAGAGTGGTCAGTGAGTGTATAATATAGAGGAGGTAGAGCCTTCATATGTAGGTGTCCATTTTTGGGGTTTGTGTGGAATGTGTCCGATTTTTGGGTTTTTTTTTCTCCACTTTTGTGTCATACCAATACAAACAAAAGAAATAAACCCGAGCATGCCAAAACATATGTATCTGCAACAATTTTCTGGGTGAAGTGGTGCATTATCTGATAGAAATGCAGGGGGAACAAGGTTTTTAGCCATGACTGTGTACAGTTGCACTGGTAAAACAAGTTGTATTAGGATATTGATTTGCTGTATCTGTTGTGTCTGTCTTTCCCAACAGATCTATCACAGTCCAATTACAAAACGTGAAGAAAGTGAGTACAATGTTTTCTTTTCTGTGTACACATGCATATAAAACACACATAAAATATTTTAACATCCATTTAAAGTGAATCTGTGACCCAGATACTGCAAATTACCAGCCAATCTATTTAGTAAATGTTGATTTTAAGATTTTTACAAAAATCCTAGCTATTCTTCTCCTGCCTCTTGTACCCCCTCGTTGGTTCATAACGCCCAAGTGGGTTGTATCCCTGCGAAGGAGGCAAGAGATGATACTTATAGGGCACTTAACTTGATCCACCTGGCCTACTCCAAGGACATCCTGATGTTACTAATCTTGGCTGACGCAGAGAAGGCGTTTGGGTGAATTGGGCATTTTTCAGGCAGGTTTTGAGATGTGTAGGTCTTGGACTCTACAGGTGAACTGGGATAAATGCCATTTATTCCTACTCCATGGTGACAGAGCCAGTGAAGCTCTTTCAGTGGCATTTTCCTAAGTAATGGAATAAGACAGGGCTGCTGCTTATCTCTCCAGTTTTTGTACTAGTATTGGAGCCTTTATTGTGCCGGATAAGAAAGAACCAGACATTGGAGATCTTCAGAGTTTGAGTGCCCGCCATGCAGGGCCGGTGCTAGACTATTTTGCAACCTAGGCAAGACCAGCTACTTGGACCCCCCCCACCAAACAAAAGCCCCCAAAAACTTCACCTGCAGTTCTACTTCACCCCTCCTAGCACACATCCTTTTTCCCTTCAAATTTTCCACTGTAGCTCAAATCCTCTCCCCTACATCCTTCTCCTAGCATAAATCCCCCAAATCCCTCATCCTAGCACTACCCCCTTCAAATTGCCCTTCCAAGCCCAATCCTCCCCTCTTAACACAATTTCCCCACCACAATCCCCCCTCCTAGCACATTTCCCCCTCCCCGCAATCCCCCTCCTAACACAAATCCCCCCCATTCCCCTTTCCTAGCACACAGCACCTCCCAATCCCCCTCCTAGCACAATTTCCCCCCCCCCCCCCCCCCGCAATCCCCCCTCTTAACACAAATTCCCCTCTCCTAGTACACATTCTCCCCCCCCCCCCAGACACAATCTTCCCTCCTAGCACAACCCCCCCATCCCCCTCCTAGTACAAATTCCAGCCCCAATCCCCCCTCCTAACACAAATCCCGCCCCAGTCCCCTCTTCTACCACAAATCCCCCCCATTCCTACCCTCCCGGCACCAATCACCTTCCTTTCAATTCCCCCACCTAGCACAAACTCCCCAAATCCCTCCTCTAGCTAAAACCCCTCCAAATGACCCTTCCCAGCATAAAATCCTCCCACCTTAACCAAATCCCCCCCTCCCTTTTAGCACAAGTCCCCCTCCCAAATCTCCTTTCTACTCTTAGCACATATCCCTTCATTCCTAGCACAAACCTCTCATCCCAGTACAAATGATTGTTACCCCCCCCCCCCCCCTTTCATTGTGTAGTTAACCCGAGCCTGTAACCTCCATTCCTCTCCCCCCAAACTTACAGGCAGGATATCAGGTAGAGTGATCCTCCATGCAGCAGATGACACAGGATCACTCTTGGATTCGGCTGTGCACAGCGGCCAGGCACAGCATCCATGGAAAGGCCTGGGGGCACAACTGAAATCTGAGGGACATAGCCCACCCCAGCACCCCCCTAGATCCGGCGATGACATCGAGTAAGGAAACCATCGGCCGTGGCTGTGCCCTAGGAGGCAGTGCGCCCTAGTTTCCCTGCCACCATGGGTATACTTGAATGATCACAACTACGGTTACACTGTGTAGCAGGCACCTCCTGTTACCCAAACATTTTTTCATTTTGTCTTGTAGGGAGCCCTAGGGGCCACGAATACTGAGGTGCTGCTATATAGAAATAGTGAGCAGAACCTGTGTCTGCCTTGTCCAGTACGCCTCCTGTGCTCCACTATTTGCCCTTCACTGTGATAGGCAGCCCTACTAGCAATGACCAAATTCGTCTGTGTGTGGTCAATCTACAATCAGATAAGCCTTGTTCAATAGACAAACAATAAAAAAAAAAGCTACCAAAAAGTGTCTTTCAGGGTGGTCCAAATGCTTCATGTATCTGTAGCCTAAGACTAAAATATGAGGGGTTCATGAATGTTGTACATTGCATTTATACTACCTTTAATTTACCCGAATTTGACTTTCCTCTTGCAAGTTTTGTACAGCAGAGCTTAAAGTGAGCAAGGGAGAAGCATCAAAAGGATCCAACTAATTCATGTGCTGATGAGGAGCATGTTGATAGGAGTAGAGAGAAGAGTGACAGAGAGATGAGCTCATCACTGCATTGCTTCTCCTTCACTTTCCAGCCGCAGGCCTGGATTGGGTCTATGATGGCCTGGGCTCAGAGGAAATAAGTTGGATGATGTTGCCTGTCTTTAAAACCCTGAAATCTGAGGACATTACGTGGTGAAAAAGATGGGGAAGCCACTCAACATTGAAGATTTCAATCAATAGCAAAGATGCAACCACAATTTTACAATCCTAAATATCAATCACATCTCCACCATGTGATCTTCTTATCTGATCTATCAAAATATGTTCATATTCATGAACAAAGTATCTTGGTGCTGCCAATTGATGCAAAATGATCAAAAATTTTTTACCTTGGCTGACTGACTCTGTTTGATTAAATCCGATCTAAATCGATAGAAAGGGAAGTTATTGCTATTCGATTGGTTTCTGATTCGATCATTTTGATTGAATCACGCAGCAATCAGATAATAAAATCGAAGCATGTATGGCCACTATCAGGGATCCTGTTGTTGGCAATTTGCTTTAAATGCCAAAAATGCCCGTGTGAAACTTCTATTAAAAACCAAATTAATTCATCCTGTATGATGTTTTACAATTAAACTACTTGATCAGTGTCCTGTTATCTGACCAATATTTTTCCCATGTCTAGTGGAATTGAACGAAGTTGGGTTCCGTTTTGTCCGGAAGTGCATTAATGCTGTAGAAGCTACAGGTATGTAGCTTAACTTAGACTTTTTTTCCTTTTTTTTTATCAATAAATTCTGTTTATTAAAATTAGGACATAAGCTATATGACTAAAAGTTTGTGGACACCTAACCATCACACCTGTATGACCTTGTAGGCCACCCGCTTCCAAAACCATGGGCATTAATATAGAGTTCAATTAATAAAAAAAGGTTGCGCTTATTAATCACCAATTAAGATATTTAAACATCAACAACGAAAAATTGTACTATTATTTTAAATTGATCTAAATCACAAAAAAGTCCTTTGTATCAAATATAGTGTAAAACACTATATTTGATACGAATGACTATTTTGTGATTTATATCAATTTAAAATAACACAATTTTTCGTTGTTGATGTTTATCTTAATTGGTGATTAATAAGCGCAACCTTTTTTTAATTAATTTATATTATATATATATATATATATATATATATATATATATATATATATATATATATATATATATATATATATATATATACAGTTGCAAGAAAAAGTATGTGAACCCCTTGTGATTACGTGGAGTTTTGCATGAATTGGGCATAAAATGTGCTCTGAACGTCATCTAAGTCACAACAATAAAAAGAACACAGTCTGCTGAACATAATACTACACAAACATTAGATGTTGCCATGGTTTAATTGCACATAACATGTAAACATTCACAGTGCAGGGAGGAAAAAGTATGTGAACCTTTGGACTTAATAACTGGTTGACCCTCCTTTGGCAGCAATAACCTCAACCAAACGTTTCCTGTAGGTGCAGATCAGACCTGCACAACGATCTGGAGTAATTTTGGACCACTCCTCTTCACAAAACTGTTTCAGTGTAGCAATATTCTTGGGATGTCTGGTGTGAATCGTTCTCTTAAGGTCCTGCCACAGCATTTCAATCGGGTTGAGGTCAGGACTCTTGACTGGGTCACTCCAGAAGGCGTATTCTGTGCTGTTGCAGCCATTGTTTTGTTTGAATTACTTGTATGCTTTGGGTCATTGTCCTGTTGCATCACCCATCCTCTGCGGAGCTTCAGTTGGCGGACAGATGGTCGTACGTTTTCCTGCAAAATGTCTTGATAAACTCTGGAATTCATTTTCCCATCAATGACAACAATCCGTCCAGGCCCTGAGGCAGCAAAGCAGCCCCAAACCATGATGCTCCCTCCGCCATGTTTTACAGTGGGGATGAGGTTTTGATGTTGGTGTGCTGTGCCTTTTTTTTCTCCACACATAGTGTTGTGTGTTCTTCCCAAACAACTCAATCTTGGTTTCATCTGTCCACAGTATATTTTGCCAGTAGTGCTGTGGAACATCCAGGTGCTCTTTTGCAAACTTCAAACGTGCTGCAATATTCTTTTTGGACAGCAATGGCTTCCTCCGTGGTGTCCTCCCATGTACTCCATTCTTGTTTAATGTTTTCCTTATTGTAGATGTGTCAACAAAAATGTTAGCATGTGCCAGAGATTTCTGTAGATCTTTAGCTGACACTCTGGGATTCTTCTTTACCTCATGCAGCATTCTGCGCTGTGCTCTTGCAGTCATTTTTACAGGACGACCACGACTAGGGAGAGTAGCAACAGTGCTAAACTTTCTCCATTTGTAGACAGTCTGTCTTACCGTGGACACATGAACATCAAGGCTTTTGGAGATACTTTTGTAACCCTTTCCAGCTTCATGCAAGTCAACAATTCTTGATCGTAGGTCTTCTGAGAGCTCTTTTCTGCGTGAGGCATGGTTCACATCAGACAGTGCTTCTTGAAACCAGTAAACCCAAAACAGGTGTGTGTTTTTTAAGGGCAGGGCAGCTGTCAGCAACACATCCAATATCATCACACTGATTGGAGTCAAGGTTGGCTCACTCCTGGCTCCAATTAGCTCTGGGAGAAGTCATTAAGCTAGGGCCTCACATTCTTTTTCCTCCCTGCACTGTGAATGTTTACATGTTATGTGCAATTAAACCATGGCAAAATGTAATGTTTGTGTAGTATTATGTTCAGCAGACTGTGTTCTTCTATTGTTGTGACTTAGAGGACGTTCAGAGCACATTTTATGCCCAATTCATGCAAAACTCCACGTAATCCCAAGGGGTTCACATACTTTTTCTTGCAACTGTATGTATATATATATATATATATATATATATATATATATATATATATATTAATTTTTTAAAAAAAAATTCAATATGTTTTGAGTAGTTGAATATTTTTTGGCGCTGTCCATATTCTGAATATTAATATTGAGTTTCCCTTCTCTGCATCTATAACAGCCTTTATACCTCTAGGGAGGACATTCCTTAAGATTTCAGAATGTGTCTGTGAGAGGTTATGCCCATTTGTAAAGTCAAAGTTTTGGTGCCGCCTAGCAGGTCATATAAGCTTTCCCAAGGTGCAGGATCTAAGCGTCCGTTGTCTTCACCATAGCTCCTGATGGTGGAGATGGGCCGGAGACCCTAGTGATCACAGTTTACTTCACTGAAAACTTTCACCAGGTCTTGACCCTGAGGATCAGACCTACCAAGAGGAAATACCAACAGGAACTGAATGGCTACGGTGTGGAGACTGTAATCTAGGTGGCAGGCAGGAGGATAGTCAGGTCCAGGTAGGGGTCAACGCAGGCGGCAAGCCAGAGAGTAATTGAATACAGGCAAGGCTCTTGGCAGGCAGCAAACAGGAGTGTGTTCAGGTCCAGGCAGGGGTCTAAAGAAGGAATCAAGAGCGTAGTCAGATCAAGCTAGAAATGGTCAATCAATCTCACAGGTAAGTACTATAGCTCTTTGCACATGGGGAGCTGGCGATAAGACGGATCACGTTAAAGTCTGGTGCTTAAATATCCTTCCTGGTTAGAGGACATGCCTAGCGTCCCTACTGTGAACTCTGGAAGTCCCAGCGGGGATTCTGTGAGAACCATTGAAAGTCTTGGCAGGGATTTTGTGAGTACCATTGGAAGTCTTGACAGGGATTCTGTGAGTACCATTGGAAGCCTTGGCAGGGATCCTGTGAGAACCATTGGAAGTCTTGGCAAGGATCCTGTGAGTAGCATTGGAAGTGTTGCCAGGGATTCTGTGAGTACCATTGGAAGTCTTGCCAGGTATTCTGTGAGAAACATTGGAAGTGTTGACAGGGATCCTGTGAGAACCATTGGAAGTCTTGGCAGGGATTCTGTGAGTACCATTGAATCCTAGTAGGAATCCTTGTCCTTCAAGGGATTATGGAGTAGGAGTTCTGGAAGACCAGACACATTTTCTAAGAGTACCCTAGCTGTCAATTACTGACATTGGTTGAGAATACCTGGCTCACAATCAGCGTTTCAATTCATCCCAAAGTTGTTCAGTAGGGTTGAGGTCAGAAATCTGAGGGCCACTCCAGTTCCTCCACACCAAACCGATCAAACCATATCTTTATTGAGCTGCCTTTGTGCCCTAGGGCACAGTCATGGTGGAACAGAAAAGGTCCTCCCCCAAACTGTTATCACAAGGTTTGAAGAATTATCTAAAATATATTTTTTATGCTGTAGAATTAAGTGACCTTACTTGGAGACATCTGAACTCCCTCAATTGGAGGGATATTTACATACTTTTGGTCATAAAACCTATCTTCTAATTTTGTCTTAAGCCACTATGTAGAATCTTAAGCGTTCAAATAAATGACCTCCTTTACTTGTTCTTTTGACATTTTTCCAAAAACTCAGACTGCTCCCCCTTTGTGTTGTGTTGTATTTTGATATCGTTTTATTTACTTGTGGATCCTTCTGATGACCTTGAATTTACTTTAAATTCCACTAACAAACCACAAGTAGAGCCTTTAAAATGTTTTTCTTTGTTGGTTCTGAGGGATTGTTGTTGGGAGGTCTCATAGCGATAAGACTTTATATAAATTCTCAGTTCTTTTGATGTGCTACAGAAAAAATGTTAACAGGTTTTTTTTTTTGGTGTGAAAAAGTTACAAAATCCGTGGAGAACTGTAGGCAAGACACACCAATCAGTCATACATACAGTATTAAAGTTAAAAAAAACATTAACCTATGTTTGCTTTTGTTTGTTTTTTTATTTTTTTTAAATAATATTCCTTATATTTGTAAGCCTCTAATGGGGCCCTAAAGTGCAGGGCTTTTTTTCTCAGCAAATAGCTGCAGTTACTTCTCCGAGTCACCCTTTGTCTCCACCCCCTACCCACCTCTGAGCACTGTTTCCTGGTTCCAACTCCTACTCACCCCCTAGTACTGCCCTTTTAAATGGAAACTATTATTTTTGTGGTGCTAAGTAATTTGTATGGATTTTGTTCATGATAACAAGAAAATCAGTAACAAAGATCCCCTGCAACCAGCAACAATAGACTCCCACTAGCATCAATAGACCCTCCAGCAGCCAGCATCAATAGACCCCTCCCTGAACAGTAGACCTCTCCCAGCAATATAAAACCCCACTACTGAGAAGAGATCCCCCACCACCAACAATATACCTCCCCAGCAACAATAGACCACCCTTTGCAGCAATCGATCCCTCCAGCATAATTGGATCCCCCAGCAGCCAGCAACAGTAGTCCCCCAGCACACCCCACCAGCTTACATTCAGTGCTGGAGGTGCCAGAGCTGCATTCCCCCACGTTTCTGCTGAAAAGCAGCACTGCTAAAGTATATCTAAATCCAAAAACAAAAATGTAATATAATGCAGCTTACCAGTCCTTAGATGCAGTGGCTGTATTCGATTGCCTGTATTTCAGGCTTTTTGCTTTTATTATCACCTGGTGATCCAGAGCAACATTGTCAAGACAAGTGTATAGGACACCTCCCTGAAATATGGCAGTTGGGGTGTTTTGTAGTTCACAGAGTTGAACTAGATAGGACTGTTTGCATTGTTTGAGATAACACTGCAAAGTGCACTGGGCAGAACTGGATTTCTAGCAGGATGAACAAGCATTGTTTTTTGCACTTATTGAACAGAGCTAAGAAAATGTACTAATGGTATACTTAACAGACTAAAAGAGAGAAGAGAAGTTTGTTAGGGTTTACATTAGGGTAAATTTTTCAGCCTTCCTTTCCATGGTATATTGCCAGTGCAAGCCGCTTTGTGTTCTAGTGTTACAATGCTACTTAGCAGGCAGGTCACCCTCCTTGTCTCGCTCCCCATCCTAGACTCTAAATGTATGAGTTGACACATAAAAAGCCGACACATACCACCACCTCCTCCTGCTGATGCTTACAAACTGAAACTTCCAACAATGCTGCCCACCACATCCTTTCCCATTCATACTACATCTCTTTCTATCTTCCCTCTCTCTCTCTCCCTCTCTCTTCCCTCTCTCTCTCTCCTCTCTCTTCCCCCTCTCTCTTCCCCCTCTCTCTCTTCTCTCCCCCCTCTCTCTCCTTCCCCCCCTCTCTCCTCTCCCCCCCCCTCTCATCCCCCCCCCTCTCTCCTTCCCCCCCTCCTCTCTCTCCTTCCCCCCCTCTCTCTCCCCCCCCTCTTTCTCTCCCCCCCCTCTTTCTCTCCTTCCCCCCCTCTTTCTCTCCCCCCCCTCTTTCTCTTTCCCCCCTCTTTCTCTCCCCCCCCCTCTTTCTCTCCCCCCCCTCTTTCTCCCCCCCCCTTTCTCCTCCCCCCCCTCTTTCTCTCCCCCCCCTCTTTCTCTCCCCCCCCCCTTTCTCCCCCCCCCCTCTTTCTCCTTCCCCCCCCCCCCCCGCTTTCTCCTTCCCCCCCCTCTTTCCCTCCCCCCTCTTTCTCCCCCCCCTCTTTCCCCCCCCCTCTTCCCCCCCCCCTCTCTCTTCCCCCCCCCCTCTTCTTATCCCCCCCCCCTCTCTCTTCCCCCCCCTCTCTCTCTTCCCCCCCCCTCTCTCTCTTCCCCCCCCCCTCTCTCTCTTCCCCCCCCTCTCTCTCTCTCCCCCCCCCCTCTCTCTCCCTCCCCCCCTCTCTCTCTTCCCCCCCTCCTCTTCCCCTCCCCCTCCTCTCTTCCCCTCCCCCTCTCTCTCTTCCCCTCCCCCCCCCTCTCTTCCCCTCCCCCCTCATCTCTCTTCCCCCCCCCCTCTCTCTCCCCCCTCTTCCCCCCCCCCCTCTTCCCTCTCTCTCTCTTCTTCCTGTTTTCCACTCACTCTGTCATCACATATACACACCTGATTCTTTTTTTCCTGGTCAGTGATGCTGATGCATATGTATTTCCTGGCTTCTCACATCCTTACTACCTCTGTGACCAAGCCCCGGTGGGTGGGGCGAAACGTGTCAAAGACTGTGCCCAGAACGGCGGCTGAGGCCATTCCTCAACATTGGATTCCTGGGACCGTTGAGCAGCGTCCATTCCTTCACTTGCATTGGCTGACACTAGAATCGCTTGGATTCCTGTAGCTTTGCTGATACATCCACTTCAGGGGATCCCCAAGCTGGAAGGCTGGGGATGACACAGCTGTGATACACATGGCGATGGAACTTCAGTAAGCCCAGAACAATTGTGATGAGCATTAAGGACATTTAATTGATATTGTGTTTTTGAAGGTATCATTTTAATGAGTCTCAGGCTGACATAGGTAGATCACAATTTGACTTGTTCAGCAGGGAGCAGCTGAATTTTGATCCATATATGGCCATCCCTATTCGACAGAAGATGATTGTTAGATCGACTTCTGTTGACCAGGAATGTCTGGAAAATTTTTCTTGATCAAGTGGCAGCAGCCACTGATCAATGTATTCTTACAGCGGAGGATTCCATTGACAGAATACAATGTCTTAGCCGCTACAAAGAGTGGCAACCACCCCAACCTATAACTAGCCTAAGGTGCACATGGAAGGGCAACGCACATCACAAACCAACACAGATTTCCCCAGCACACTTACTAGCTAGCCTGCAAAACAACCAAATTGACCCTGTCTAATAATTTACATTAAAAACAGAGGGTTCTGTTTGCACACATTTTCAAATATATGGGTAAGCCGCAGTGCCTGTATCAAGGCTCCTCTGTTTACTGTAGTCCTAATGCTTTAATTTTCAGACAGGGTCGCTCTGGATGCCTTCAGCATCCATTGTGCATTTGTTGGGCGTCACATGCTTCCCTGTGCCTTTTAAGGAGGGGTGGGCTCCCTCCAGGCACACCTGCCCTTAATCTATCCACTGCTATATGTGGGTGTACTTGGGACTCTGAAAGTTATAGTTAGGAATGCAGTATACAGAGGAGCCTTGATGTAGGTGCTGTGGCTTATGCTATGTAGATTGCACATAGGGTGCTTTGCAGACTTCTCGTAGGGTGCTTTGCAGACAGACTTTCTCGTAGGTGCTGCTTTCGTAGCTTTGCAGACTTCTCGTAGGGTGCTTTGCATGACTTCTCGTAGGGTGCTTTGCAGACTTCTCGTAGAGACTTCTCGTAGGGTGCTTTGCAGACTTCTCGTAGGGTGCTTTGCAGACTTCTCGTAAGGGTGCTTTGCAGACTTCTCGTAGGGTGCTTTGCAGACTTCTCGTAGGGTGCTTTGCAGACTTCTCGTAGGGTGCTTTGCAGACTTCTCGTAGGGTGCTTTGCAGACTTCTCGTAGGGTTCTTTGCAGACTTCTCGTAGGGTTCTTTGCAGACTTCTCGTAGGGCTGCTTTGCAGACTTCTCGTAGGGCGCTTTGCAGGCTTCACGTAGGGTACTCGGCAGATTTCACGTAGTGTGCTCTGCAATCATTTCAAGGGTCAGGATGGACGGTGATGTCACCTGGAATTTGATGAGGTCATGACTGTTAGATTGTTATCATCTAAGGTCATTCATTCATCTGTTATGGTTCTCTTGTAGGAATGTCTACAGAAGGAGTGTACAGGACAGTGGGAAGCAACATCCAAGTGCAAAAGCTGCTGAATGCATTTTTCGGTAAGGTCTTCATGGCACCCCGACGGACGTATAGTTCCAAAATATCACTATAAGCACTAAATGAAGTAATCATAATTCTTCTACTCCTCTAAATAATATACAGTATTGTGCTGCACCCCCAGAAACTTGACAGGTTGACATTTTACCATTTTCTTGCTGTTTTTCTAGATCCCAAATGTCCTGGGAATATGGACTTGCAGAGCAGTGACTGCGACATCAAGACGGTTACTAGCGCATTAAAGTTCTATCTCAGGTATCTGAGCTACAAAGCTTACAATTAATATTTAAGTGATGCTAAACGATATCTTATTTATAAAATCCATACACAGCCACTATTAATGGCCCTGTAATCTATTTTTCATAAAATCTTTATTACTGTGTTTTTCTGCCTCCTTGTGAGCTTCTGCGTGAGCTCCCAAACTTTTCCTTTTCCTCCTCCTCCTTTCCATTGCTTAGGAATGAGCAGTGCACATGAGTTCCTTCTAAGAGGATGTTAAATCACAGTAGCGAAAAGAAGGAATTTTGGAGATTTCAAGAAGGCTTAGAAGGGACTTTTTGGAGTTAAGAATACGGACGTGAAATGATTTTTCTTTTCACTTTAAAATGTAACCAAAACATATATAAAAATTAAGGTAAAAAACCTTCTGTGTTCAGTTTCCCCCTCAGCCCCCCCCCCCCCAATACTTATCTGAGCCCAACCTAGCGATCTGCACGAGAGCAGTGGCTCTTCAAGCTCACTCCCTTCTCAATGGCTCAGAGACAGCAGCGGGAGCCATTGCTTTCAATCATAGCAAGTGAAGAGGGATTGGGGGCAGGGCTGAGTCGCGCTCTGTGTCAGACACACAGCTGGCTCATTTGCAAACCCGCACGTGTGCCCCCTTAGAAAAGGCTTGCTATAGGGGCACTCAGCGGGGGGGGGGGAGCCAGGAGCACTGGAGGGGGACCTGAGAAAAGAAGGATCAGACTGCACTGTGCAAAACCATTACACAGAGCAGGTAAGTATAACATGTTTGTTATTTTAAAAAAATGTATTACCTTTTACAATCACTTTAAATTGAAATCCAAGTAGTATCAGCTCTGGGTTAGTGAATAATGAACAGCACACTTAACAGAATGTTGTAATAATCATCCAATAGATACACTAAATACAGAATTGAATGTCAAACTAGTTGCTCGAATATGTGTCTGTCAACCTAACCTCCAGAAAAGCCCATCAACAATGCCACAGAAAAACAAAAATAAATATTGCAAAAGGAGAAAAAGGGAGGTAATAAAGAAATCTAAAATTAAGAAAGAGGTGGTGTATTTTGGGCCAGTGGACAATAGCATGGGGACCTGTGATTGGGGGATTGTACGCATGGCGTGGTCTAAACTTCTTTGCAAGGACCAACGTGAGTTCCTTTGATGTCAGTTCAATTTTAATATCAGTTTACAGGGAATTTTTCATGAATGAGTATCCAGGTATTAAATTCTAGGTATAATTTGTTTTACATAGTTACTGTACATTGGCCCAGCTTGGATCATTGGAACTACAGTATGTATATACAATAATTATGGGATCCCCCTTGGCAGCTGGAAATCCCTGTATAGACTCCACTACTCCAGTGATATCCACTAGTTTCCAGGTCCTGTGCCGAGCTGCTACCCTGCTGCATTCTGCACAAAGCAGAGAGGTGGGGTGGTGATGTCACATTCCCCCCCTCATTCAATCAGAGAATGCTTTGCAATCATTGAGAAAATGCAAAGCATTCTCTGAATAGCACGTGTGCTAAATGGTTGCAATTCCACATTGTGAATACAAGCGGTTGGCTGCTCAGCTTGGGACCTAGAAGCTAGTAGAAATCACTGTAGTAGAGGTGCCTAAAACCACTAGTGATTACCAGCTCCTAGAGGGATCCCACAGGTAGGGGTGGGCAGGAGGGGCAGCTGCCCTGGGCACAGCAGAGCAAGGGGACAGAGAATGGACCCAGAGCAGTAAACCTGTTCTGTGGCATGCATTGACAATGGAGGAGGGAAGTTCCGCATTCTTGCCCTCAGCGCTAGACAAACCTGTCCCAGTACTGCCCACAGGTATGGTATATACATAGCTAACATTGGTCCAAGCTGGATCCTTAGCTGGAATTCTTCTTTTGAGTATGGGTTGTGTCCCTCCCTCAAAATGTGACTTGATAGTGAAAGGGGAAGCAGCAGACTGATGATCTCATCTCTCTGTCCTTTTCTCCTATCAGCATGTTTCTTGTTAGCAAATGAGCAATGCAGCACACCAGATTGGCTGTGTATGCTACTTCTCTTACTGGGGGTTGAACTCTGCTGTATAGACACTACAAGAAGCTGTCACTGAGTCAGATGCAAGTGTTTACACTGCTTGTAATTGAATATATGGTATCTTATTAATTCCTAAGATGTGATGGCTGCATTCACTTTCTTTTTTAGTCTTTCTTTCTTCTGTATTCATCTGGTGATCTGGCCAGTAAATCTGTTGTTTTTCAAAAGAACATGCTCTCCAAATGTATTAGTTTCATGGATGAGACAAATCATTTAACACTACAATGATCCGCTTTCATTCATTTTTGTAAAACGTTTATCCCAAAAGGAAAAAAAAATGGTTTGCTGTAACTGCCCATAAAGTAATAAGCTGGGGTGTTTTGCTTCAGTTTGTTAGTGTATCTAAATCTGCTAGTTCATCTAACACTCCCCTCCCCTCAGACTGACAGTGCTACTGTCCAAAAGTGCCTCTTGTGTTTCTTTATCCAGAGTGTGTGTGTGTGTGGGGGGGGGGGGGGGGGGGCTCTAATAGGAGGTGTGTTACTAGCTAGATCAACCGAGAGCAAAAATAGAAAACTAATGCAGCCACCACATCTAAGGATTGGTAAGCTGCAAAATATTACTCCTTTTTGGTTTTGGTCTTTTTACTGCTAATACTTACAGGTGTTGTCCCTCCCCCCAGAATGTGACTGGATAGTGAAAGGAGAAGCAGCAGACTGATAATCTCGTCTCTCCGTCCTTTTTCTCCTATCAGGATGTTTCTTGTTAGCCAATGAGCAGTGAAATACACCTGATCGGCTCTGTGTGCTGCTTCTCTTACTGGCATTTGAGCTCTACTGTACAAGGGCTGCAAGAAGCTGTCACTGAGTCAGATTCAAGTACTTACCGTGCTTGTATTTAACCAGTTCACAACTGCCCTATAGCAGATTTACTGCTACAGGACGGCCACTCTGTGCAAAATCACGGGTGCATATATACGCGATTTTGCACTTCCTGATTGAGGGGGCGTACGCACTCCTGGTGCACCACTTCTGCTGTGATTAGGCACAACAGAAGCCGATCAGCACATACTGACCAATGGACAACCGCCAGCACACGCGTATTGGTGAGGAGAGAGACAGGACACAGCTCTGCCTATGTAAACAAGGCAGAGCTCTGTCCTGTCAGCAGTCATGTGCTGGATTTTGTTTCCCTACAAGGCAGGGCGTAAAATCCAGCACATCCCTTATTAAAAACACATGAAAGTAAACACAAAATCACTGGTTAGGTACATAGTTAACCCTTTGATCGTCCTAGATGTTTAACCCCTCCCCAGCCAGTGTTATTAGTACAGTGACAGTTTGTGGGAACCAGTGACACTAATACAGTGATCAGTGCTAAAAACAAAGTGTCAGTTAGCATCAGATTGTCGCAATATCACAGTCCTGCTATAGGTCACTAATCGCCATTGTGGTGTTAAGTTAACTAATCATTTTGTGGTGTTAAGTAATTTGTATGGAATTTTGTTAATGATAGCAAAAGAAAGCAGTAAAATAGACCCCTGAAGCCAACAACAATAGGTCCTCCACAGCAACATCAGACGCACTGCAACAATAGATCCCCCCACAAGTATGGGCCCCCCTACAATGATGGACTCTCTGCAACAAAATACCACCCCAAGAACAATAGATTCACCTCAGCGACAATAGACTCCCAGCAACAACAACAGATCTCCAAGCAGGCTGGATCAATAGACCTTCTAGCAGCCAGCATCAATAGACTTCTCCTTCAACAGTAGATCCTCCCAGTAGCAACTTATTCCCCCCCCCCCCCCAGCAACAAAGTACCCCCTCAGTAACAATAATCCCCCAACAGCAACAATAGACTTGCCCAGCAAAAATACATCCCCCACTAGCATCAATAGACCCTCCAGCACACCCCAGAATCACTTGCCAATAACATACATTCAGTGCTGGAGGTGCTGGAACTACGTTCTGCTGAAAAAAGCCCTGCTAGTATGAAAAAAAAAAAAAACAATTCCAGTATATACACCATAGTTTGTAGACACTATAACTTTTGCGCAAACCAAACAATATATGCTTTTTTTTCCCCAAAAATATTTAGCAGAATACATATTGGCCTAAATTTATGGAGAAATCGGATTTCTTTTTTTATTGGATATGTTTTATAACAGTAAGTACAAAAAGTATATTTTTTTAAATTTTCAGTCTTTTTTAGTTTATATAATTAAAAAAATTATATATATAGATAGATAGATATAGATAAAATGTAAGAAAAAGAAACCCAGTGGTGATCAAATACCAGCAAAAAAGCTCTATTTAAATATAAATGTAATTTGTGTACAGTGTTGCATGACCGTGCAATTGTCAGTTAAAGTAACAGTGTCCTACAGCAAAAAAAAGGCCTGGTCATGAAGGTGTGTGGGGGGGGGGGGGGGGGTAAATCCTCTGGAGGGCAAGTGGTTAATTTAAATGTACTGATGTATTAAAAAATAGAGTTGCATTCCTTTATATATTTGAGTTCAGATTTTACTGTATCAAAAGTATATTGTCCTCATGTCTGCAGTAGTTTTCCTATTGGAAGTTTGATTACAAGCACAGAGGGTGTCATGACAACGGCGGTTCTCAGCATTGATTGCCTATCTGGAGTGTCCCTATAGCATTTTTATAATTAACATATCTCCATATAAACGTTTTCTTTTATTGACCAGGAATCTGTCGGAGCCTGTTATGACGTATAAGCTGCATCGGGAGCTCGTATCTGCTGCAAGTAAGAACATAAATTAAAATATCGACCAATTAGCGTGTTAGTGTCACAGCCCAATCAGAGGCAGATCATCCACAAGAAATCTCTTAAGCATAAAACGTAAATGGACTTTCTCTGTACCCCATGAACCAGTACACCAATTTTATAAAAAATACAAATTTTATAACAAAAATCACAATTTTATACAACAAATTAAAATCTTTGTTTTTAATTTGTTTTTATTTAAATTGTGATTTTTGTAATAACATTTTATTTTTTTTTTTCTAATTCTTTATTTAGAAAGACATTGTGCATAGACAGAATGTCAACAAACAATAAACTGCGCCAAAGATCCAAAGGCAGTATAGCGACAAATAGATGGGTTGTGAGGCACATCAGTTCACATAGTTTCTGGTAACGGGAAAATAAAAATTAGTATTTTTGATGACGTTGGTGGGCTGGTTCATGGGGTACGGAGAAAGTCCATTTACGTTTTATGCCTAAAGTGGTTGTAAACTCTTACATATTCCCAGTGAAGGGACTGACCTCAGGTGATACATAGAGATGAAACAAATCCTCTTGAATAAGTTATACCTGTTTACCTGAAGTCGTCTTTTCTCTACATCCATTCAAAGTCCAGAAATTATAAAGCTTGTCTGAGATTCCAGAAAAGAAAGCTGAAGCTACACTCTGCAGAGCTCAGTTCGGTTAGGAGAGCTGATTGGAAGGAATGACCCCCCTCCCCTTCACGCAACACACAGGAACAGAGCTGAGGCTGTCAATCAGCTGGAGGTCCCTCCCTTGTCACCATTTTTCCCTTGGTGTCAGGAAACCTGTCATAAGTGACTCTGCTATGCTGATAGCAGAGGAAGAAAGCAGCAGACAGAAATGACACTCAGTGCTCTTAATTGAGACAAGCACACACTATAATAGAGGGATATGCTTTGTTCGTATTTCATGTATGAGGTGTACAACCACTTTAAAAGATTTCTAGTGAAAGGCCCTCTATCCCATATGTATGAAGTTGGCACCAGCTCCATCCATATATTTGTGGATCATCCACAAGACAGCCTGGGAAGGAGCCCAGGGTGCTCTATGGATGTGGAAGGAGGTCACCTACAACCTTCTTGCTGTTGCAGTAGGCCAGTTGGTCAAAGCTGTGACTTCATCCGTTATATCATAAGAGAGGATAGACTTGCGGGCAGTTAGCGTCTAATGGGACTGTGACCTGAGATGTGACTTTTAGAATGAAAATTTGGCTATCTCTGCTGACCCCCCCGCTGTCCGTTTTTTCCTTTCAGAGTCTGAAAATCTGGATTATCGTCTTGGAGCCATTCATTGCCTGGTGTACAGCCTGCCAGACAATCACCGAGAAATGCTGGAGCTCATCATACGGCACCTCTCAAGGTGAACAGAGGACATGGCTACAGTTGAACATTGGAAATTAACTTTTCATTTTCAAATATAGATTTGGAAAGGGAGGAGGACACTTCCTGTGTCTTGTTTGTGTTAGTGGAGGATTATTATACTCATTTAGCCTTGCACATCATGGAGCATGCTCCACTTTTCTCTCTGTTCTTCTCCGCTGTCTTTCTCAGTTTGACATTCTTTTCTCTTACCTCTACCATGCTACCTTCTTCTCCATCCATCATCTTCTGCCTGTCTTCTGTCCCCATTCTTGAGTCTCTGTTCCTCTGCTTGTCCGTTTCACCCCAAAAGGTGTTTTACAACTTCACTCCTTAAAGAGGAATTAAACTCTAGACTCCTAAAAAGGACAATCAGGGGGCAAAGGACTGGCCTTGCAGCTGATCTTGCCTTGTTCTGATCAGCGTCTCTCTATGGAGGCATCAGAAGATGCTTGATGCTAGTGATGCTGGAACCCTAAGGTTCTTTTTGTCTTTATTTTCTTTTTGGAACAGTTTTCTTCTAAAAAGAAAATGGCAGTAGGGTAGATATAAAAAAAATGAAGCATCTCACCATGATATTCAAGTCCCAATCGGTTTGTAAACTGTCTGTGGAATAAAGTTGTGTCTAGACTTGAATACCATGGTGTAGCACATTAATTCTAGACTCTCTCTGTATGGAGGAGGCCTTCTTGATGGAAGTGGGCATTTGCTTCCTCATTGTAGATCCTCCAGCAAGGAGAACTGTAAACAGCACAGTAGTGAAATCTACAAATATCACTCCAGATCTGGAGAGACCTGCAGTCAGAGGGAGCAGTGCCTTAGATCTAACACTGCAGATATACAGCTATGAGGATGCAGAACTGGAGTGCCTAGGCACCTTCTTGTTCCAGGAAGTGCAGTGCTACTGTATATATCAGAGTAGAAACTCCAGACAAAAGGTACATTCTCGAGATACTGCTTAGGGACAATTTACATTTCTAAATGTTCTCTCTTCACTTTTTGAGTGCATGTTCATTTTAATGTACTCCCTGTTTTTTTCCATTGTCTGGTCCATCTGTTTGCACCATTTTCTTTCAGCACTTCCTTCCTTCCCTGAGCCTTTTATGCTTCCTCAGTTTGATGTGTCCCTTGTGCTAATGTATCCTCTTAGTAGAAACTTCCTCCTCCAATCCCCCCTTACCCCGCTGCTGTAATCTTCTGGTGCAGTGGGGGTTAATACAGTCGAGGGACCTGTGGCAGGCACTCATCAAGAGTGCCCAACTATGCCTGGCCATTCCGGTCCCTTCTTCCATTTATAGAACCGTACTATAGCTTCTATGCAGGAAACCAGATCTATGAATAGAGAAGGTGGACCTTTCAACCATCCACCTGTCTTCCATTCATAGAAGCTATAGTACAGGTGGGCATAGTTGGGGCACTCTTGCTGAGTGTGTATGACAGGTCCTTCAGTTCTATTACCTTCCACTGCACCGGTGGCGGGGAGGGGGGGGACCGAAGGAGGAAGGATTTGACTAAACATGGAGCCAGCAGCTCAAGGGACACATCAAACTGATAGTACTAGATAGTGTCCCTTGCACTAATTAACTTTTTTTTTTTTCTAGTAAGGCTTTTAGGTGGTTATAAATGAAAATCCTTTTTTAACTTGATGCATTCTCTGCCTTAAAGTAAAAACTGTCCCACTACCTTATTTATTCCCACCTCTCCCTAATACTCACCTGAGCCCTCTCTCGATCCATCACTGTGCCCCTCTGCAGCAACACTACTCTCTCTCCCTGGTCTCACTGAAAAAATTAAGAGCTGTTGGCTCCTGCTACTGTCAATCAAATCCAATGAGGAAGGAGTTTTGGGGGGGGGGGGGGCAACGCCAAGACGCCCTTTGTGCATCTATAGATGCACGCAGCTCGAATCAGGAGCAAAAAAAGAAAAAAAAATATCACCCCCCCCCCCCCAAAAGGGTAAAGTCCTGTGAATGGATAAAAATCTGTTAATGCAACAGCAAATGAGACCTTGGGTATTGTGTATCAAAGTTTTATTTGAATATCAAAAGAATCTAAAGAGAAAATATAAAAAAATACTCCTAAAATGCAAGGACACTGTGCTTGGTTCACCATGTCACAGACACACAAATAAAGTGCATTAAAACAATGTCACCTATTGAAATGTCATCCAGTTAGAGAATATGTGTTGCAAAAACCAGCACAGAAAAATTATCGCTTATAGAAATTCAGTCAAATAAAGTCTAGCTGGCCGTGCGACACATATATTCCCCAGGACTTAATGTAATGGTCAAATGTACAAAACCATGAATAGACAGGCGCTTACTCAATGAAACCAACATTAAACATCAAAAAACATAAGAAGCCAATATATGTGTATCAATAAAGTCACTTCCTGAAGACATAGCCCGGTGAAACGTATGTAGAAGCGTGATCCCGTCACTTCTGGGTCCTGCATGATGTCACGTTTGGCCCGTTAACACGAAGCTTGGAACGCACGCTGGAGATCCTAAGAGAGTCATGATATCTCCACATTGGCTGTTCAAGCTGGTGCCGGGGTCTGGGTCTGGACGTTCAACAGATGACATTGTTTTTAATGCACTTTATTTGTGTGTCTGTGTCATGGTGAACCAAGCACAATGTCCTTGTATCTTTTCAGTAATTTTTTTATATATTATCTTTAGAACCTTTTGATATTCAAATAAAACTTTGACACCCAATACAGTAGGTCTCGTTTGCCGTTGTAGTAACCACTTTTTACCCATCCATAGGGCTTTACCCTTTTTGGAAGGGGGTAATATTTTTTCTATATATTTTTTCTATGGTTATCACAGCAACACTTAAGGAGTGAGTAGGCCATTGTACGTATGAACAGTATCTTTACCCTCATTTTTTTCTGGTATAGTTATCGAATCGGTAGCAAGCCTGCATCTGTGCCCCCATAGAAAGCAGATTGCTATAGGGGCACACTCAGGAGGGTAGAAGCAGACCGCTGGCGGAGGACCTCAAAAAAGGAGATAGGGGGATGCTCTGTACAAATCTTTTTTTTTTTTTTTTTTAATTTTAGGGGGGGGGGGGGGGGGGGGGCAAATGGAGCCCTTTACAACCAATTTGTCCCTTTTCTGGACCCTCTCCTCCTTCTGCCCAAAAATACTTATGTTTCAGTATGTACCCTCAATCCGTTGCTGTTGTCCTCTTCCACCTCATGTATGAAAGTGTCTGTTCTTCAGATCCAGACTTCCATGATGTTGCTGCAGGAATATGAACAAAGTGTCTTAGATATATAAGCAGAGTGTGGTTTGAGGTTCACCCTAGTTATTACACCCTAAAATGTGTTTTTTTTTTTAGTTTGCTCACATGAATCTCATATCTTGTTGGTTCATTTTCATTTCAGAGTGTGCGAGTACAGCAAAGAGAACCTCATGTCCCCCTCTAATATGGGCGTCATTTTTGGTCCGACTCTGATGAGGGCACAGGAAGATACAGTTGCCGCAATGATGAACATTAAATTCCAAAATATTGTGGTGGAACTTCTCATAGAGCACTGCGACAAAGTAAGCAGGATCATTTCGGAAAGCCGATCTAAACCCCAAACCAAAAAAAAAAAAACTTGCTGCAGCTTACCGGTCCCTAGATGTGGTGGCTGAGTTAGTTTTCCTATTTAGGCACATTTCACTTATTGTTACATGGTGATCCTATGAATATTACCTTTGTGACTACACTTATTGTTCCATAGGGTGAGCCATGGCTAGACTTCAGACATGTCTGCCTTTTGTTCATCTCTGTTGCATGGTGGATTGATGGGACTAGTGCATAGCTTCCTGAAAACAGCACAGCATCCTCCTTCCTCCTGTACTTCTTTATTTCAGATACTTATATAGCGCCGTCATTCACATCAGTCCCTAACCCTCAAGGGGCGTACAATCTAAGGTCCCTATCTCACATTCATACATACACATACTAGGGCCAATTTAGACAGGATCCAATTAACCTACCAGCATGTCTTTTGAGTGTGGGAGGAAACTGGAGTACCCGGAAGAAACCCAGGCAGGCACAGGGAGAACATGCAAACTCCAGGCAGGTGGTGCCGTGGCTGGGATTCGAACCAACGACCCTGGTACTGCCAGGCAGAAGTGCTAACCATTTCTTTCAAGAACCCTGATGCAAGCAGTGGGATGGCTCTCGGGAGGAGTTATGTAAATGTCTGGATGGGTGGCTGTCAGTCTGGAGAAGTGGGTGTTGCTATGTAGGCTGTATTTGCATCCAGCCCACCCTATGTACCGTCCACTAGTAACAGTCAGCCTCTGCGATTGACAGAACTGAAATCGAATAAATGAAAAGGGGCGGACCAGGGACAGTCAGGCTGCAGCGGAAAGCGCTAAATGATGCTGGGTGTCTTCCAAGCTGGAAATGAGGAGGGCACTAAGGCTTGCTGCAGCTTCTAATGCACATTGCGAGAAGCTCACAGTGTACAGTTAAATCAGAGTAAGCAATTTCAGTCCAAGAGAGGAGCCAGTACAACTTTGCAAGACTGAAGGGAAGGTTGGAGGTCAGATATGTACAAAGACAAGCACATTGCAAACTACAAAATGAAAGTAAAGGGATAAGAACAATATAAATATGCACATGCCGTGTATACTCCTTACAGGCTTTCTTATAACAACAAAGCCGGTGCGGATCTGGTGCACGGGCCAAGGATTACAATGACCTGCTGACAGAACGGCCAACTTATTCCAAAAATAGCAAAAGAAAAGTCAAATATTTTCTTATGAGAGCTGATAAAATAGACTCAGAACAAACAGAGCGTCAGTTACTAGCCAAAGATTTGCTCTTAAAAAATCCTTATACTGATACAGTGGAGGCCCAGATAAAACCACCCTGGAAACCTTAGGATTGTTTAAAGCAGATCTGGAAACAGCAAGCCCCCCTCCATTCCCAATCTAACTAATCACCATGTTTGTGAAAAGGAATCCTAATCTAAAATCTTTTTCTACTTCTCTAAATCTGTGGTCACTTGACTTCAGTGTCATGATGATGTCACAGGACACAAATTGCAGCTCTGGATCCCCAGTCTCCATTCCTGGAATAGACACTGGTAAGGGTTGCAGACCTAGATGAGTAAAACAAGGATTTTCAAAGTTTTAATAAGAAAAGAAAATTGTAAATGGGTTGGAGACGGGGATGGGTGATGGGTGGTGGAGACAAAGACAGGATGGGAGGTAAAGACAAGGATGGGATGGGTGGTGGACGAGACAAGGATGGGGTGGGGTTGACGGAGACGAGGACGACGGGGACGGGGTGGTCAGATCAGCAAATATTTGTTGATGAGGCAGTGGTTAGGTGTGTTGCCCCTATTTTTACGTACCAAAAAATGCCCGTTATCTTTCATTGTTTTACTTTAAAGTATTACTACAAGCAAAACCTTTTTGGGGGATTCGGATGGTGGTGAGGGGAGAACCACTGTCAGGTTTTTATCACTGCCTGCACAACGTTCCCCCCCCCCCCCCCCCCCCCGGGAGATTCACTTTCTTTACATGTCCTAATTGCAATGGCACCAGAAAATCTAAAAATGATGAGTTGCCTACCAGGATAGGAAAAGAGGAAAAATATTCCAATTCCCATGACAGTTGTCTAAGAGAGGATTTCCCTCACTTCCTGCTGAGTCTACAGTACAGGAAGTGAAGAGAAACCTCCTCGAGATGGCAAGAAAATTTTTAACCTTCCCCAACTCTATCCAAAAATGTAAAAAAAAAAATAAATTGGCTTTAGATAAACTTTAACGGTCTGCTTCAGGTCAGGCAACAATAAATTAACTTCAGGACTCCAACTCCGCTATTGTAAACTGCATCATTTCTTCTGTTAAAACTGCTTTGTTGTGGAGTTACCCATGTACAGTTGCAAGAAAAAGTATGTGAACCCCTTGGGATTACGTGGAGTTTTGCATGAATTGGGCATAAAATGTGCTCTGACCGTCATCTAAGTCACAACAATAGAAGAACACAGTCTGCTGAACATAATACTACACAAACATTAGATGTTGCCATGGTTAAATTGCACATAACATGTAAACATTCACAGTGCAGGGAGGAAAAAGTATGTGAACTTTTGGACTTAATAACTGGTTGACCCTCCTTTTGGCAGCAATAACCTCAACCAAACGTTTCCTCTAGTTGCAGATCAGACCTGCACAACGATCTGGAGTAATTTTGGACCACTCCTCTTCACAAAACTGTTTCAGTGTAGCAATATTCTTGGGATGTCTGATGTGAACCGCTCTCTTAAGGTCATGCCACAGCATTTCAATCGGGTTGAGGTCAGGACTCTGACTGGGCCACTCCAGAAGGCGTATTCTGTGCTGTTGCAGCCATTGTTTTGTTGAATTACTTGTATGCTTTGGGTCATCGTCCTGTTGCATCACCCATCCTCTGCGGAGCTTCAGTTGGCTGACAGATGGTCGTACGTTTTCCTGCAAAATGTCTTGATAAACTCTGGAATTCATTTTCCCATCAATGACAACAATCCGTCCAGGCCCTGAGGCAGCAAAGCAGCCCCAAACCATGATGCTCCCTCCGCCATGTTTTACAGTGGGGATGAGGTTTTGGTGTTTGGTGTGCTGTGCCTTTTATTCTCCACACATAGTGTTGTGTGTTCTTCCCAAACAACTCAATCTTGGTTTCATCTGTCCACAGTATATTTTGCCAGTAGTGCTGTGGAACATCCAGGTGCTCTTTTGCAAACTTCAAACGTGCTGCAATATTCTTTTTGGACAGCAATGGCTTCCTCCGTGGTGTCCTCCCATGTACTCCATTCTTGTTTAATGTTTTCCTTATTGTAGATGTGTCAACAAAAATGTTAGCATGTACCAGAGATTTCTGTAGGTCTTTAGCTGACACTCTGGGATTCTTCTTTACCTCATGCAGCATTCTGCGCTGTGCTCTTGCAGTCATTTTTACAGGACGACCACGCCTAGGGAGAGTAGCAACAATGCTAAACTTTCTCCATTTGTAGACAGTCTGTCTTACCGTGGACACATGAACATCAAGGCTTTTGGAGATACTTTTGTAACCCTTTCCAGCTTCATGCAAGTCAACAATTCTTGATCGTAGGTCTTCTGAGAGCTCTTTTCTGCGAGGCATGGTTCACATCAGACAGTGCTTCTTGAAACCAGTAAACCCAAAACAGGTGTGTGTTTTTTAAGGGCAGGACAGCTGTCAGCAACACATCCAATATCACACTGATTGGAGTCAAGGTTGGCTCACTCCTGGCTCCAATTAGCTCTGGGAGAAGTCATTAAGCTAGGGCCTCACATACTTTTTCCTCCCTGCACTGTGAATGTTTACATGTTATGTGCAATTAAACCATGGCATCATCTAATGTTTGTGTAGTATTATGTTCAGCAGACTGTGTTCTTCTATTGTGACTTAGATGACGTTCAGAGCACATTTTATGCCCAATTCATGCAAAACTCCACCTAATCCCAAGGGGTTCACATACTTTTTCTTGCAACTGTATATTTAATCAGTTTGTAAGATCCTTCGAGTGCTAGATTGCAGGAATACACTTTGTAGAAGCCCTGATACAGTTTGGAATTCAACAGCACCTCCTTAAGCAGCTGAACCAGCAAAGCAGCCCCACACCATTCTATTTCCTCCACCATTTCACAGTTGGGATGTTGTGTTGGTATGCATTGTTTTTTGCCACACACTCTGCTGTGTAAATTTATCAGTTTACCTTGACTATCCAAATAACTTTGTTTCAGGAGTAGTCCAGGTGATCTTTAGAAAACCTCAGAATACAATTTCTGGAAAACATTTTTTTCCTCTGGGGGTAAACTCCTCCATGAACACAGGTTATGCTGAATTTTTTTTTTTTTTTTACAAAACCCCTACTGATGTTGTCAAGGGCAAGAGACCTCTGCAGGTCCTTCACTGTCGCTCTAGTGTTCTTTGACACTGCTTTCACAATCATACGGCGAGTTTTTAACACCAGTTTTGGGATCACATGGTGTGTCTTTGACACAGGTTTCGGGATTGCATGGCATGGCTTTGTCCCCACTTTCAGGATCATATGACTTGTCTTTGACTCCAGTTTCAGGTTCATGTGATGGTGTTTTTGCCCCAAGTTTGAGGATCATACGTTGTGTCTTTGATTCCTTTTTAAGGATCATTTGGCTTGTGTTTGACCCAGTTTCAGGATCACATGGCATGTCTTTGACCCCAGTATAGGATCATATGGCATGTCTTTGACCCCATTGTAAGGTCATATGGCATGTCTTTTACCCCAGTTACAGAATCATATGACTTCTCTTTGACTCCACTTTCAGGATTATATGGTGCAGTCTTTGACCCCACTTTCAGGATCATATGGTGCTGTCTTTGACCCTAGTTTCAGAATCACATGATATGTTTTGACCCCAGTTTCAGGAGCACATGGCGTGTCTTTGACTCCAATGTAGGATCATATGGCATGTCTTTGACCCAAGTTACAGGATCATATGACTTGTCTGTGTCCTTAGTTTCAGGAACATATGGCGCGTCTTTGACCTCAGTTTCAG